TTTGTTTGTTGTTTAACGCCGCACTCAGCAATATTCCAGCTATATGACGGCGGTCTGTAAATAATCGAGTCTGGAACAGACAATCCAGTGATTAATATCATGAGCATTGATCCACGCAATTGGGATTGATGACATGCATCAACCAAGTCAGCAAGTCTGACCATCCGATCCCGTTAGTCGCCTTTTATGACAAGCATAGTCACCTTTTACGGGAAGCATGGGTTGCTGAAGAGCTACTCTACCCCGGAATCTTCACGGGTCAACTTTTGCTGAGAAATGGGAAGGCCTTTAAATGGAGAGTGTTGTAACTGTGACAGAAACATGGTGAGTCTCTTACTGTGACAGACAAGGGAATGTCTTTAACTGTGAAAAAAGGAATGGGCCTTTAACTGTGACAGAAAAGGAGAGGGCCTTTAATGGGAGAATGCCTTTAACAGAAAAGGGCAGGGTACAAAGCGCTGCTGATTGATACTCAAGGCAGAAATGTGGAAAGGATTTGGAATATTTTTGATTGTTTTCATCAAACAGATGTTTCAGCACAAATCACCCACAGACAATGTGCCGTGAAAGCAAACAGAGTGATCTGAGGCGTCTTCATCTACTTAGGAGGGATAAATCTGGAGCTACTATGCCTGTGACTCATCCCGCGGGTCTACTAGCTTTAGATAACTCATTTTGTGTCGTCATCTTCTGTCCTATCATGAGCAGATTCTCCAACTAGGCTCAATGGTTAATCCGCGATGAAAGTTAGATAAGATCCCCTCTTGGATGTAACGAAGGCAAGCCTGTGGTTCTATAGCCTCCACAAGTTGGCTCAGAAATGCAAAAACAGGATATTCTCTTGGAAGGAGATACAATTTGATTAAGGTAAAGAATTTAGGGCATGTATGTAGGGCCCCAGGGACCCCTAGTTATTCATTTATTATCCAATTTAGTTGAGCTGTTCGCAGTAATATCACAGATATGGGAGAATTATATTTGTTTTTATCTATGCGCAAATGGAAATCGTATTTCAATAAGTATTTTTTATTTTATGGAAAGTGCTTTGATTGGAGCGGAATTTTCAAGATTATTAAATTTTATACCAGTTGGTTCTCTAAAGGCTTAGCTCTGGGTGAGAGATGCTCTCTGGTTAAGGAAGACGATTTGTCAGTCGAGATCGAGATGCTGTTGAATTCTGTAAGTATTGTGGAAGCAGTGTTGTATTAGTAATGTAGCACTTTAAATTCATTGATTATTTAAGCTGATTGTGATCTTTATGGTGGCTGGGTTGTGAAGCAGGTTTGGTTTTGTGGATGTGCTCTGATCTGGAAATATTTTGCAAACAAGCAAACCAGCTGTGAACAGTAGCAGTATGCCCATTGATTGTGATGATGATCATGATGATGATGATGATGAAGACGATAATATTTCTACCATACTGTGTATTTATTATGATACCTGAGTTTGATGACGAGCACCTCCGAACAGCGAGGCTGTAATTTAATCACCAAGTCTCTCCTTGATTGTTTCATCACGATCCAGAAATCTAACAAATTGTCTGAGTTGGTTGTTTCATTCGCTGTTTTAACGCTATACCGACCAATGATGCAGGTAACATTCATGTGTTGTCATGCATGTGTGAAACAGCCTGTTACCTGAGGTAATTACCTGTGTATGCTCATGCATTCTCACAGGTGCAAATATCACCTGAGTTTGGGGGGGGGGGCTCAAAATATTGCTGTTTATTCGACTTTATTGAGATATGTGTTGACGGGTTAATTATTTAATATATGTACAGCATTATTTTTGCTTGGAATAGTTCAAAGCTATGAAACGGGATGAGTATTGGAAGGTTGCGATTTTTTAATTAGAAGTATTTGTTGTTCAACAGATGATTTCTTTAGATAGCATCTGATGCCCCTGATGACGTATGTGAATCTGTACTGATCTGATAACTGGTTGAACAAGGCTGATATCTAGCAAAGACTGCGTTGATCCTCCCTTTGACATGTGTACCATATTCGACGTAATAAGCGCCCCGCTCTAATAAGCGCCCAGGGGGATATTTGTTAATATATTGGCAAGTGAACAGTAATAAGCACCTTTTCCGATTGATCAATGTACACAAGATGTATTTATTCGTGTATAATATGCACTCGTGTGTTATATTGGCAATTAAATTCTCGAAAATAAGTCTAACGTGTACAATACGCACAGATTCATCTTTTATATCATTTCAGGCTGTCAGCATAAACAACAAAATTTACATCTTTCAACTCTGTTTTTTTTTCTCACCAAATTTATATTCTAATAAGAGCCCCCAATTTCTAATTTTGAGAGCGCCCTGGGCACTTATTACGTCAAATACGGTAAGTTGGAATGTCATGTTATGTCTTGCCAGGAACCCTTTATTGTTAGCTAAGATAGGCTCAATTGGTTTCAGCTCACAATGTCTGACTGGCATAAGAGAATATGTTGTGATGCCAACACATATGTCTTGTACTTTACTGGTTTCTTATTCAAGCAAAGTTTCTCCTTGAGTTGAACTTTTGTTTCAGATGGTCTGAAGTCGACATTGCAAGATGTCAGATATTCCTGCATGGTCACCTTCAGACTACTCATGGTTGGTGCCTCAGTATCTGGTTCCTGACATTATATTACAATGGGACTGGGGTTGTTCAGATTGGGCAGTAGCTGATGTTCCAACAAGTCTATGAACACATCACCTTTCATTTCCTTTTGAGAATCACCAGTTTTCTTTTTCGCCTCGAAAACTCGCTCACATCCATCAATATGCCCTGAATCACTGGTTCTGGCGTGCAAAACAATGACACAATCACCTTTACCTGATGGGACAATGGGTGCTTTTTGTCCATCTGACAGTAGCCACATGTAGTCAGTGGAATGATTCTTATACACCCAGGTTTCATCAAGCTAAATGACCTGGAAGCCCTGACTGCGATAGTTGTGAAGGGTGTAGAGATAATGTGATGTCATAGACAGGATAGAAGAGTTTCCCCTGAAAACTGCTCGGTCATCGCAATGCGGCAGCGTATCCCATCTTGTGGAGGGCATATTATTATTGTAGTCTCGTAAACTTTAGTTGGAGGTACCTTCTACTCATAAAGGTCATAAAGCTATGAACTTGCTGATTTTGTTCAATTTTTTATCCTGTAAAATAGTTGATAGGACTCCCTGTGACTGAAATACTTAACATCGGGGTTAAATGGGCCCCCCCCCACCCCGGGGGGTGACCATTATAATGGTCACTAATCCGTGAGCCTCCCAGACAGATCGGAGGTATCACATGTGTGCTTTAGCATTTTCTCAGCCAGCAGTGACCCAGATCTCAATCCCAGCAGTGACACAGTGAACTATATCTGTGAGACATCCCAGAAAATGCAGCAATAGATACCCATATATATCTTGTCTCGTATTCCCAAAGGACCCATATTCTGCCAGCAGCCAGCTTGTCTGACCCTGAATGTGATGAAAGACTGTTGATATGGGAATAATTACCTCTATAATATTACTTCAGGAAGAATAAATAACCTTTGAAGTACAATGATTTGTGATTCTGTAGAATATGAGTACCTTGTTTATGTCCGTGTTGGAAAATGAGTCCTTGCAGGCTCTCAGCTCGTAGTGTTCCCTTGGTGTACTGACCACCTTCAATCTGGATGTGTATAACTGACCAGTGTTCAAACTGCCATCACATATCTAACACATTGTATACCTAGCTCTCAATGTGTACTCACCAGTGTTAACACAATGTAGAACCAGTTCTCTTTGTGTTCTGATCAATGTTATTACGATGTTGAACAAGTTCTCTTTATGTTTTGATCAGTGTTAACACAATGTAGAACCAGTTCTCTTTATGTTCTGATCAGTGTTAATACAATGTAGAACTAGTTCTCATTATGTTTTGATTAGTGTTAACACAATGTATAACCAGTTCTCTTTTACTCTTTATGTTTTGATCAGTGTTAACACAATGTAGAACCAGTTCTCTTTTACTCTTTATGTTTTGATCAGTGTTAACACAATGTAGAACCAGTTCTATTTGTGTTCTGATTAGTGTTAACACAATGTAGAACCAGTTCTCTTTGTGTTCTGATCAATGTTATTATGATGTTGAACAAGTTCTCTTTATGTTTTGATCAGTGTTAACACAATGTAGAACCAGTTCTCTTTTACTCCTTATGTTTTGATCCGTGTTAACACAATGTAGAACCAGTTCTCTATGTGTTCTGATCAGTGTTAACATAATGTAGAACCAGTTCTCTTTGTGTTCTGATAACTGTTAACACAATGTAGAACCAGTTCTCTTTGTGTTCTGATCAGTGTTAACACAATGTAGAACCAGTTCTCTTTGTGTTCTGATCAGTGTTATTACAATGAAGAACAAGTTCTCTTTATGTTTTGATCAGTGTTAACACAATGTAGAACTAGCTGCCAGTGTGTACTGATCAGTGTTAACACAATGTAGAACTAGCTGCCAGTGTGTACTGACTAGTGTTTTCTCTCCATCACATATCTAACACAATGTAGAACTAGCTCCCAGTGTGTACTGATCAGTGTTAACACAATGTAGAACTAGCTGCCAGTGTGTACTGACTAGTGTTTTCTCTCCATCACATATCTAACACAATGTAGAACCAGCTTCCAGTGTGTACTGATCAGTGTTTTCCCTCCATCACATGTCTAACACAATGTAGAACTAGCTCCCAGTGTGTACTGACTATCTAACACAATGCTGTGTTGTGTGCAGGCCCTGCCCCACGCCTAGTTGCTTGTTATGAGCAGAGACAAAGGTAAGACTTAATTGATTGCAGCCCAGTCTGCGGTGCGTTGTCGACGTTGCTGTCAACGATGTTGCAGGACAGCAGGAGTGATAGATGTGGGGTCGTTGAAGTGTAGGTTCATTTGCATGCAGAATTAAGTACAATATTAACAAGCCTTGCTATAGCCTTATTTACTGTAGTTATGCCCTAAAGCTAGACATTATTTTTCTTCAGATATGGAGCTGGAGCTGTCTGATGCCACAAATTGATAACGGTTGGCTCACCCAAATGCCATTCATTCAAGATTTAATATGGAAGGATCGGAGAACATCAGGGCTTGTTATACCATATTCTCAGCAGGAACTGAAATGATATTTCATGGTGGGAATTGACGACCAGTGAGGGTTTGGTTTGGGATTGTTTGATGGGAAAATGCCAAACACATTCAAGGCTTGACAGAGGCACACTCTTTGTTAAAGAGTATTGAATGATTACATGTGTGAAGAGGCAGAGGCTTTGTAAAGGTGGCTGACAGAGAAGATCCCTACTCCACTGCACTGACTGAAGTGATTGTATACAGTAGGGTGTATTACATTGGATTACTGCTCTGCCGGAGAAGATCCCTACTCCATTGCACTGACTGAAGTGATTGTGTATTACAGTAGGGTGTATTACATTGGATGACGGCTCTGGCAACGCTCTTCAGAAATAGAACATTGATATCAACAACTGTGCATTTGGATTAATGAGGAATCAAGTTGACTGTCAGTTGCCTTCGATACTAGTTATACACATGTTCTAGAAGGTAAGAAATTGGATATTTCTGAGAAGAGAGAAGACAATTGTAATATTAGTGTGCTTTGGATATCTTGTGTTGTGTAACAAGCAGTTCAAGGATACCGTGTTTATGTTTCTTGGGCTTCCTTTCATTGAAATTCATTGTGTTACCAGGGAATAAGAGTCACCTTGAACAAGCTTGTTTTACAATGACTTTTGGACCTGGATAACCTTGCCAAGACGTTTTGTGCCAGTGTCGTATAGGTCCTGGTTGAAACTCTATTTCATGCTGCAACTTGTAACAATTGAACAAGACATGCATTTTTTTGTGAAACTTTGAAACAAGTGATATTTTTTTTTACCCAGAAACCTACGAGTCTAAAGTTTCCTTTCTGAGACCTTCGAAATCAAATCTGTGATTACTGGTAATCAGATGTTTCTTCGTGGACAGGACCCTTCTGTTCCCTCTTCCAACAAGCTGGAGCCATCAGTAGAACACCACAGCAGTGAGATGAGATATTTTGATAATGGCTTCCTTGTTCAAGAGTGATTTGGTTTGGGGAAAGTGATACTACACACCTCCACGTATACAATACAGGTCCATAGATGACCTTGATGACCGTGACGAAGGTGTGACTTTCTAGGAGGCCTTCAACCATGCCATCAGGGTGTAACCTCAGACCCCAGGACAAGTGCAATGGTGGCACAGGATGTGTCATGACCTCGAATCACACGGAAGGCATGGTAGGGAAAGATGTGGAGAAGGGGGACGACCCGACTTTGCTCGGGTTCCTTCCACGAATGTCTGTACAGGAAGTTCCGGCATCGTGGTGGACGAGCAGAGAGAAGTATCTCATGGCTGTGTGTACACTGCTCTTCCTGGCATGCATCGCTTTTATTGCTGTAGCATTTACAAGGTCTGGTAAGGAGGTGTATTTTTGCTAGTTTCCATATTTGGTTTGAAGATTAGAGTGAGTGAGGTGGGTTTAACACCACTTTTGACAGTAAGCCAGTTATATCACAGGGTGTCAGTTTAATATTGGAGGAAAGCCTAAAGTATTGCAGGTCTTTGACATTTACCACTTTAGCATAATCTATGAGCTTAGGTATGGTGCTGACAAACCTAGAAACATAAATCAGGGTGAACCAGGATTCGAACTCACAATCATAAGTTTCTGAATGCCCAAGGGACGCAACGCTGCACAGCGAAGTGTGGGGCCTTGGTCAGCTGGGCCACCTGGGCCCACCTTGAAGGAAAGTCCATTGTGTTCATGCAGATAAACTGGGTTTAAGTGTCCACAGTGTGATGAGTGTTGGTTGGGTGATGGCAAGGGTAGATGGTTTATACATCAGGTTATATATCAGCTAGATAAATGACATAACAGTTAGGTTACATTACAGCAATAAATGTTACACAGGTTATGTATCAGATAGACAGGTTATGCACCAGGTAGATTGGCTACATAACAGTTAGATAGGTTTCATAACAGCAATATATGTTACATATCAGCTGGATAGGTAACATAACAGCTAGATAGCAAAATATTAAGCTACATAGGGTATATGAATCTTGTTAGCTAGATAGGTTACATATCAGCTTGATACATATTCAACAAATAGATAGGTTACGTAACAGCTAGATAGCTTAATATATATTGTTACATCGGTCATATGAATCTTGTTAGCTAGATAGGTTACATAACAGCTAGATAGCCATACATTATGCTACATAGGTTATATGAATCTTGTTAGCTAGATAGGTTAAATAACAGCTAGATAGCTATATATATAAAGCTACCTCGGTCATATGAATCTTGTTAGCTAGATAGGTTACATAACAGCTAGATAGCCATACATTATGCTACATAGGTCATATGAATCTTGTTAGCTACATAGGTTGCATAACAGCTAGATAGCTATATATATATAAAGCTACCTCGGTCATATGAATCTTGTTAGCTAGATAGGTTACATAACAGCTAGATAGCCATACATTATGCTACATAGCAGGGGTCCGGAAAATTTAAAATCCCAATCGGACATTTGCATTTAGGCCACGCCCCCTTCAAATAGCGTATTTTTAGTACGACTTTTCACACACATTACAAGTTTACGTATTCATAATATGATGAATTATGAATTGTTTCAATGTTTAATTCACCGGACGATTAATAACAAATAATATCATTTTAGATTTACATGGAAAACATACGTTTGTTTCTTTTATAATAACGATCTGTTAACGTAGTGAACGGTCTAATTAATATTCATGAGTTATATTCATGAGTCTGCTCAAGTGTACGCGTTGTAACATTTGGATCGAGACTATTATTCCATATTTGGTTATCACGTGACCTCACGGGAAATTTTTTTTTTAACTAAAGATTTTTTTAAAAACAAGACAGATAATTTAATCACAAATACAAAAATATCGTTGATAGCAATAGTTATTTGAATACTTTTTTCATCTGTACTTATTTATTGACCATAAAAAAATTGGATATCGATCGTCCGAGAAAGCAAAATGGAGGTCAATCAAGATTCAATATATGACTAGCTACTGAAAACAATAAAATCTGCAAATCCTCATTGTATGTCAACCAAGTGAAAGTCGTTAGCCACGACTTACAAAATGATCGTCCAGACTTTGAGGGTTTGGCAGATCCGCTCGACTGATCTGCATCGGTCGACTGGCTGTCGTCACGCTTTCGCTTCTTGTTTGAGGTTACGTATCGTAGCATTGTGAGGATAATGAGGTACATCGATGATGCAAGGTATTAATGTACAGTTGTAAACACCTTTCACTCAAATTAACAAGATGTTCTCAGTAATTAATCCTCGATTAATCAGTGTCAACTCAGTTTATTGCCTATTACAGTGATTGACCGATTGGACTATCATGTAGGTACGATGTATTTACAGCAATCAAAACAAACAAAGCTTGTCAGTGTAGTTAATCTTCATTGTGTTGCAACTGCAGACAGAAACTGCTCAGTCCTAACTGTTGATCATGTCCGGTCAAAATTTAAGAATGTCCGGACAATACTTTTTAAAATGTCCGGTAAGCAATATTTTAAAACGGACATTTGAGATTCCCAATCGGACATGTCCGGCGCATATGCGGTTTCCGGACCCCTGCTACATAGGTTATATGAATCTAGCTAGATAGGTTACATAACAGCTAGATAGCCATACATTATGCTACATAGGTCATATGAAAATTGTTAGCTAGATAGGTTACATAACAGCTAGATAGCCATACATTATGCTACATAGGTTATATGAATCTTGTTAGCTAGATAGGTTACATAACAGCTAGATAGCCATACATTATGCTACATAGGTTATATGAATCTTGTTAGCTAGATAGGTTACATAACAGCTAGATAGCCATACATTATGCTACATAGGTTATATGAATCTTGTTAGCTAGATAGGCTACATAACAGCTAGATAGCTATATATATAAAGCTACATAGGTTATATGAAGCTTGATAGCTAGATGGGTTACATAACAGCTAGATAGCCATACATTATGCTACATAGGTCATATGAATCTTGTTAGCTAGATAGGTGACATAACAGCTAGATAGCTATATATATAAAGCTACCTCGGTCATATGAATCTTGTTAGCTAGATAGGTTACATAACAGCTAGATAGCCATACATTATGCTACATAGGTTATATGAATCTTGTTAGCTAGATAGGTTACATAACAGCTAGATAGCCATACATTATGCTACATAGGTTATATGAATCTTGTTAGCTAGATAGGCTACATAACAGCTAGATAGCTATATATATAAAGCTACATAGGTTATATGAATCTTGTTAGCTAGATAGGTTACATAACAGCTAGATAGCCATACATTATGCTACATAGGTTATATGAATCTTGTTAGCTAGATAGGTTACATAACAGCTAGATAGCCATACATTATGCTACATAGGTTATATGAATCTTGTTAGCTAGATAGGCTACATAACAGCTAGATAGCTATATATATAAAGCTACATAGGTTATATGAAGCTTGATAGCTAGATGGGTTACATAACAGCTAGATAGCCATACATTATGCTACATAGGTCATATGAATCTTGTTAGCTAGATAGGTGACATAACAGCTAGATAGCTATATATATTAAGCTACATCGAACATATGAATCTTGTTAGCTGGATAGGTTACATAACAGGTATATAACAGATAGATAGGTTACATAACAAATAGATAGGTTATATAAATCATATCAGCTAGATAGGTTTAACAACTAGATAGGTCACATATTAGCTTGTTGTAAGAGGTGACTAACGGATCAGATGTTCAGACTCGCTGACTTGGTTGATGCATGTCATCACTCCCAACTCTGTGGATCATGCACATTCATGATATCAATCACTGGACTGTCTGGTCCAGACTCAATTATTTACAGACTGCCATCGTATTGCTGGAATATTGCTGAGTGTGGCGTTAAACAACAAACAACCAAATCAGCTAGACAGGTGATGTAAATTTTATCAGCAAGACAGCTGACATATAACCTAACAGACAGATAGGTTATAAAAAATGTTCAGCTCGAAAGGTTATATAACAGATAGGTTATAACAAAAAATTCAGCTCGATAGGTTATATAACAGATAGTTATAACAAAAAATTCAGTTCGATAGGTTATATAACAGATAGGTTATAACAAAAAATTCAGCTCAATAGGTTACATAACAGATAGATAGGTTATATATAAGCTAAACTGGTTATATAACAGCAAAGTAGGTTTGTGTCAGGTGACACAGTGACTGAGGAACACAGAGCCTGTGTGGCTGCACTGTTTGCCATGGAACAAATAAGAACTACAAAGAATGTTTCAGTTTCTGTCAATTGCAAACCCCTTTCTCTGCAGAGAGCATCTCAACATGTGAGTTTGGAGAGCGAGTTTACACAACACTTCATTAGTCTCCAGTACCTTCCGCTCCACTGCGGGTGGTTCTGTTACAACCACATGCTGGCTTGATTCCTCTCAACAAGACAATGATGCCGTGATTGATTTGACGAACAGTCGCCAGGAGTTATATTTCATCTAATGGTGGTGGGGACTGTGTTGGATGAGAGCATGGTAACTGCGATGGCTAATCAAATAGATGGATATCCTGCTGGTGGATGTCTTCAGATAATAGAAAGTTGTGACAGTATGACAGTAGACAGATGCTTACATTTCCTGAATTTAAAAATGATGGCTACTGATATATTTTTCTATTTTTTGCAAATGTGTCTTTTTAAAAACTTTTTGTCCAAATTTCTCTTTTGTAAAAATCTGAAACATGTGAAAGTTAGTATTTGTGTTACACAGACATGACTGACAGGATTTATTTTCAATAAAAGTTTATGTGAAATGCATTCCTGGGTATGTTTTCCAAAGGGTTTGGGTGAGTAACGTATGTTATCATACTGGCAAAACTTACATGATATATCTTAACATAAATCCCAATTTTTATGGTCAGTCAGTGAGGTAGCCAAGTGGTTAAAGGATTCACTTCTAACTTTGAAGGAGCCTTGAAGATCCTGATAGAAAAAAAGGTCATGAGTAACACATGCTTGCCGAAAGAGGTGATGGATGGCATGGGTGCATCTATGAATTGATGGATGGGTGAATGGATGTATTGATCTTTGTATTGATGGATGGAGTGATGGATGAGGTGATGAATAGATTGATGAATTGACGGATGGGAGAATGGTTTGATGATGTATTGATGAGGTGATGGATGGATGGATCAATGAATTGATGGGTGCATGGATTGCTAAAGTCATCAGTAATGCAGATATATCACGACAGCATGCAGTTTAGTTTTGCCTGGACCAGACAAACCAGTGGTTGATAGCACGACCATAGATAGGTTCACTCATGGTACAGTGACACACACAGTCATATTGGCCACTTAGTCCCTGTTTCGTGGGCCTTGTAAAAAATCACTATTTCAAAAGTAAGAGTATATTGGGAATTATTCATTTGTGGATATGTGAAAACACAGTGTACAATCATGCCTGATTCACAAATACCTACTTTTGTATAGATCTCTTTCTGATTCTCAACTGTACCACGTCATCTTTATGACAGGTAGATGTAGACTATGTCACAATTCCCTCATGATTAATGACATCTGGGGTTGCGCAGTGAACACAAACCAATTCCAGCAGACATCCTCAGTACCTTGGACAAAGCTGCTTAATGCTGGAGAAAGCCCAAAATTATGCAGGTCCAAGACAATAATTACGGCAGGGATTTATCAAGACATGCTCTGAGGCCAATATTCAACCCCTAGTCTGAAGCAAATATTAAGAACAAATGGAATTAAAAGTCTCCCAATTTATGTTAATATACAACCAATAACTACTTTTATGGCTTTGTAGAGATAACCTGTATTTCACTGGTAACAGGACGAACAAAAAGGAAGGGGTTGTAATGTTTAGTTATATATTATTGCATTGAATGCTATCTCAAAATACAATGTTATGATAGGCCTACCTCTGAATTTAAGAAAATAAGAACTTTAAAAATCCCAGTTTTGAACAATTAATAGCTATTTTCTCCCAAATTGCCTGCTGGGGGTACTTAGTTTAGAATCCTGGAGAAATCCCTGGTGCCACTGACTACGGGCCATTATCATGGCACAACTGTGATTCTGGCCCATGACCAGCACATCTCTCAACTGTGAGTTGAGGCACTCACATCCAGAATCCCAGAGAACTAAGAATCCAATTTGCATCTTATGTTCAATATATCTGAAATCCAGAGTGAGTGAGTTCGGTTGAACGCTGCTTTTACCAGTATTCCAGTTATATCGCGGCGTGTCAGCTTAATGTGGGAGAAAAGCCCAAAGTGATGCAGGTCTCAGACGTTTACCACTTTGGTGAAACCCACGAGCACGGGTATGGTGCTGACAAACCTAGAAACATAATTGGGGAGAACCGAGATTCGAACCCACAATCATAGGTTTCCGGTGTGACCAAGGGACGCAACTCTTAAACAACTGGGCCACCTGTGCCCCCCTGTAATCCAGAGGAGAAGGATCTAGCCAAAGCTAAACCTCAGGGAATCTTGGTTTTGCCTTGTCTGTTTTGTCCCTGGGCAAGAACTGGCCTGGTAAAGGTTTAGCCTGCTACATGGGGCCTGCTGTACCACATGTACCAGTGTGTACAGGACAGAGTTAGCCTATTTCTGAGAAGACTAAGATTTGATTCTTTTCTGGGTACAAGTTGTGAAGCTCAGGTAATGGTGCTCCGACACAATGTTGCTTGCATATATTGTGAAAAGCAGCTTAATAACTGACTCCAACACTCATTTGAATGTCAAGCTATGAATTGTTGATAGTGCCATGTATGTTTGTGTTTCAGAAGAATCCAAACACTGTTTAACAGCTGACTGCATTAAAACAGGTAATATGAGACTTCACATTTATTATCTTCAGCCATGAATTATGTGGCAGAATTACTTATAATCATAAATGTACTATGGGACATGATTCAATTTAATTAAAATCTGATTTTTACAATATCGCTCTTCAAAACCTGAGCTGATCAGTGTTGAGGCTTTTGAATTCTCGGCACTAACATATCTGATTTCTGTGTCTCGTTTATAAATTCAAATGTTTGGTTCCGAATGTAGATGATTACAGCCAACAGTTATATTGTTGTCAATATTTTGTACTCCCTGCAACTTCTGAGAACCAAAATACCCCCTTAAAGAAGTACCAAATTTGTGTTCAACATGTTTTTTCTTTGGCATAAAACAAAATTTCTGAATTGAGGTAGTAAAGGTATGAAGCCGGATCATTATAGAAAGCTCTCTCTCTTCTTAAAGTACTTGCACATGAAGCATTCGCTTGTCACGCCGAAGACTCGGGTACAATTCCCCACATGGGTACAGTGTGTGAAGCTCATTTCCGTTGTCTTCTGCTTTGATATTGCTGTAATATTGCTAAAAGCAACATATAATAATATTCACTAACACACTCACTTACACCTAACAACATCCACTGACATCTTGCCTAGTGGAATATGCAAACAAATCATGAACAGTGTGTAACGCAGGTGCACGTCTTGTTACCAGTAAAAAAATATCTTGCTTCCCTATCAAAAGTTGAGTAGTATTGTATAGTTCACTTTTGAGCAGGACAGCAGAATTTCTGCTACCCCAGATCTGTGTGTGAAATCGTTGCAAAACATTGCTGGCCAACAGGGTGAGCTAGCCGTAAAAGTTACTCGCCAGTTTTAAATAACACTAGTTTAAAGATACAGCAGTTTATGTTTCGTCCTCTGCAATGTTTGGTAGTCAAAATATTAGCTTAAAAACACGAAACAATGTTACAGTAACAGCTTTCACTCAAACAAGGTGAAGGGGGATAACTCTGATCACGCCACCTCAATTCGTTATTATTTTTATTATATTTTTTGGATATTTTTTTTATTTTTGGTGATCAGACTTTTTAAAAATTTAATCAACAAAGAGGATAGCAAAATATATCACTGTTAAAATTTCAGTAGCTGGTTGGGCCAGGGTATTTCAGAATCTTTAGTCTGAACAAAATTTTGCTTGCCATGAGCCTGTGAGGCATCAGGTTTACCTTAGAGGAAATGTGGATACATGTTGAAACTTTTACAATCTCACTACAATTGGGTCTTGTACTCTGAAACTAAGAATAGAGGGCACCACCTTAGAACACAGTGAACTGTGAGTGATCTTTGACCATCCAATCTAACTAAATGATGTATTGTTATTGGGTCAATCAGAAGTCAGCTTCTATAATGATTCAGCTTTATGACTTTACCACCTGCGTTCAGAAATTCTGGTCTCAACTAAAGAAAACAACATAAATATTCCATCGATAGTTCATCCTTTTGGTGAGGAAGCAACAAGATGTATGGATAAAACTCACAATAACATTACAGTGTGTCTTCATGACGTTGCATCTGGAACTCCCAGAATACAGTAAACTACGGTTAGAACAAACTGAAAGGACCACGTATTTTAGCTGTAGTTTGTTATAAGCATATACATACAGCTATCATACCACAAATGTCCGGTACCAAAAATACAGGTCATAATATCCATCAGTTTGTTTTAAGCATGTTGGACTGGAATGTAGTTCACTGTGTATTCTATTTTGAGATACAGAAATCATTAATGCTTGTTCCGAGAATTTAAATCCAGGTTGCTGGTTGACTCATTAGGTACATTGAAAACACAGCCTGTTTATCTCCCAAGTTGATAGTAATTAGATAGAATTAATTTGGGTAAACTACAAATTTCTTGCACTCATGAAAGCTATAGTGACTGGTTGGTTTCAGTTTTCACGTTGAGTGCGATTGCTTTTTGAGTTGGAAATTCAAGTACAAGAATATGTCATTAACACATCTCAACTTGCAGACTTCCAGGAACAGAACAGTAAAGGTCATGTGTGAAAATAATGGATGATTGGATGAAAATCTAAAATCAATTACTTTTTCATCACAAGCCACCAATCAATCATAAAAGTTAATCAGTTTTAAAGGTGCAAGATCAAATTTCTGAATCTTTGAAAGTGAAAATGTTTTTAATTTGACTTGAGAATATATTTGAAAATATGATATTTATTACCCAGGAAAATGATATGGGATGGCTATAAAATTGAAATCCCAGTGCGGTTACCCTGGTAATTGTTGGCTAAAAATATTTATCAATAACGTCAATCAAGACTCCATCTTTACAGATTATGATGGTGTCAAAAGCATCAATAATAGGGCAAAATTTGCAAGAAAGATTGTATCCATGGAGATAGCCAAACTAGGATGATGCGCTGCCTGCCTGGCGAACAAACCGTGATGACCGGGTTCAGTTCCTTGATTTGTGCCCATTATCTTGTTCTTTGTTTCTGGTGTCACTTGACATGACTCAAGCCCTTGTAACTTACAGCTGTAATTCTTCTCCCAGATAAATATATGAAAAGAAAAGTAGGAATTAGAAGAGAAGTGAAATATGGAAAAATTATATCCATTTCTGGTTTGGTGGTACCATGATCGATATGACTGTTCCCCCTTGGGGAACTTCAAACAAAGATATACAGAAAACCAAGAAATGACCCAAACTTGCTAACTGTGTAAGGCTAGAATACAAATGAAATGTTTTTCTGGCATTGGTACTACACTTTTAGTCAGGCTAACCTGTCATATGTCTTGCAACTAAAAACATATATCCCAGCTTTCCAGTGTTATATGAAACAGATTCTTTTAACCATGAAAGGAACAGAAATGATTTGTGTCCACATTTTCATTCTTTGTGTTCGGCGCTGTTTGTCATAATTAAAATGAAAAAACTATTTCCATAATTGTAAGAATTCTCTGCTATGATTCTTTTACTACTTCTATGATTCTGACTACTTCATGAGCATCACTATCAGTGATGACACCAGGTGTTCCCGCAAAGGTGAGTATATCCTACCCCACCGGTGGCACCCATCACAGACACATGCAAAGGCAAGTCAATTGTTCACCTGAAAAAAAAACAGGTACAAGTCAAATTAGATAATTACATCGAACATCATTTTTGCGTATGTATGTAAAAGTGTTTCCTCTACTCTTTTGTTATTTAAGTGTGCTATTGATGTCACTGTGGTATTTTTTCATGTGCTAGCGTCCCAGCTGATGGACATGATGGATGTGACGGTCAACCCGTGTGAGGACTTCTACCAGTTCGCCTGTGGTCAGTGGGACAAGACCTATGTTATCCCCGAGGAGAAGTCCAGCTTCAACACCTTTGAGAAACTGCATGATGAACTACAGATCATTTTAAAAGGTGAGCAATGCATGTTTGTGTCAATGCAAATTCCTCAGGATCTGTAAACGTCTTTATATGTGAATGTGAAGTCATAATGTCTGGATCAGAAACATAAAAACATTTGGAAAGTTTACATGCTTTGCAAATCCTGCAGTCGACTGAAATCTGCATGTTAAAATCCATGTTGTTTATGAACTGGATGTATAGTTTGTTACACGATTTTGATTGGACTATGCATAGACTCATTAGTCCAGCCAAAATGTAACTACGGAATTCCAGCCTAGTTCGGCAAGGGTGGAAACTGGACATAGTCAATTATTACGAGCCCATGCAGAGAGGTATCAAAGATAAAGAAGATGATACCACATTGAAGAGAAACCCTGGTCAGCTTTGCCCATAATTGAGATTAATATTTGACAGGGGATATCCAAATTGGCAGGTGAAAATTATAAGAAATAAAGCCATTAATATATTTGTAGCCTCAATATACTTAGTGCAGCAACATAAAACAATTAGTTTGAATAAAAACTTCTTTCTCAGTGTTTACATTCAGAGGTTTCAAATCACAATAACAATCTAGATTAAAACAGATACCTTCATGTATTCATCTCTGTGAAAGAAAATATTCGAAGGAAAGTACCAATCCATCTCAGTCATAGTCAGTAGGCACAAATGATAATTTTAACATGTAGGTTTTTGAAAGCAGGGATCTTCACTGAAATCACGGAATGTTTATCTCCCAATTTACTCACACATTATTTTTGCAATAACTTGTCTGTCTGTGAATCGGGGGCATGGGTGGCCCAGTCATCTAAGGCACCGTGATTCACTTTGCAGAGTTGCGTCCCTTTGGCACGCCAGAAACCTGATTGTGGGTTCAAATCCCAATTCACACCGATTATGTTTCTAGGTTTGTCAGCACCATACCCGTGCTTGTGGGTTTCACCAAAGTGGTAAACGTCTGAGACCTACATCACATTGGGCTTTCCCCCCACATTAAGCTGACATGCTGCGATATAACTGGAATACTGTTAAAAGCGGCATTAAAACCAACTCACTCACTCACACTGTCTATGAGTCAGACATTTACTTCTGCAACAAGGACAAAGTACTTCCTGGGGTTATTTAGGTCATTGTTAAACAATGGCATCATTTACATTTTAAAAAATGAAAAATTTGATTTAATTTTGATATTTTTTGTAGCTTTTTGTGTTGTGGGAATTTGTGTTTTCTCAGTGGAGCCCAGTGTTCAGTTTCATGTGCATCTTTGACTTCATAATACAATTAGTGATGCATTACAATCAATCAACGGAAAACAAAGAGGTGTATTTTTTACAAAACCGTAGATTTGCTGGTAAAAAGAAATATAAAACAAAAAATATTCTGTCTCTATCATCAGTTATGTAAAAGAAAAAGTCACGTCAAAAGGTAATTCTTCACTTTTTCTTCACTTGATATTTTGCCAAAACTTGAAAAAAGATTCAGAAATGCCTCCATATGTTATTACTGTTGCATGAACTATTACTCTTATATAAGGAAAACTTAGGTTAATTTGCCCCTAACAGTAGATCAAGATATTTTATGTTTTTTAACGTGATGGAAAATGTGCAATGTTGTTTTTTCTGCAAGTATTGAAAGTGTGTATGCATTAACAATACACTGAAAGTAATCACCTCACAAGAAGGCCTTTTCTTTTGAACACTTATAGGTTATAGTTCATTTTGATAATTAAAATAAATATAGGATTTCATAAATATTTCTTTTTAAGTCATTTCTTGTCCATCATTTATAAAAAGGAAAACTAAAGGTTTCAGATTTTACTTGACTAAAAATCAAATTAGTTGATGTCATGGTGCATTGTCTATCCGTCATAAACGTTCACATGTTCCACATCTCCTCTGAAACTACAAGTTGTATGGAACTGAAACTTTGGGTAAATGATCCCAGCTATGTTGTCTGTATAATGCTCACGGAATTCTGATCCGATTTTAAACACAGCTGCCATTATTTCTTCTATATTCACGTGAGCTATAATCTCATTACAATCAGATCTGAGTTCTCGCTGCCAATAAACAAAGATCTGAGGACATCCCATTACGGGTCACGTCAGAACGACCTTTTCGCGAACTTTGACCGACCACTGAAATGACCAACAAGAAGTCGACATCAGCCAATTAGAAAGCACCTTTCTCGAGCTTTACGGCACTCGTTTCAACCTGGCGACTTCCATTTCAGATTACGCTTGAAAAATATGTTGACACAGTTCTCGATTAAAATTTTGAAAACTGAACAAATGAACATTCCGGAATGTCTAATATATGGTTGCGATTGTATGGCAATGCTTCCCACATACAGTTCAACGCCTCCTTCGTTCAAATGTTTATCCCACTAAAGCGAGAGATAGACAATAATTTTGACGAAGCAATTGTACAGGTCGTAACTGTCTGCGTTGACATTTTCGATGTTGCATGATTCGAAAACACATTCCGACTGTCACTTTTATGATTTGGTAAGCGACGCTCTGATTGGTTGGATGAAAGGTCGTTCTGACGTGACCCGTAATGGGATGTCCTCAGATCTTTGTTTAGCGGCAGCGAGAACGAAGATCTTATTTTAATGAGATTGCGTGAGCGACAAAGCCTTGTAGTTATATTTTTTGTTTTGTCTCATGCATTTTTTGTGAAGCACATATATAAATTAGATAATGAAATTGTCCTGTCCTATAAAAAAAGAAACTTTACCCATTCCCTGAGGTCTAAAACAGTGAAAGATATAATTCATAAATTTGTTTTTTAGACTGATCTCTGAGTACATGTATAACGTTGTTTGAAAAAATACATTTAAAATAAATGAAAATGTACGTATTTCTTATTTGGCTTTCAGAAATATCATTAAATCAGAAGGATAATATTTGCCTGTTCACATAAAAAAGAATAACTCTTAAATAATGTTATTATACTACAGGTCTCCTGGAGGAATACCCCACCCCCCATGACTGCGAGGCCACTCTCAAGGCCAAGGTCTTGTACCGATCCTGCATCAATGTCTGTAAGTATATGTTTTGTGGCATAAATAATCTGTGCTTAATGAAGACATGATGCTGACGTCTTATCGTTCTACTGAATTCATCTTTTTTGTGGGGGCAGTCGGGTAGCCTGGTGGTTAAAGCGTTCGCTCATCACGCCAAAGACCTGGGTTCGATTCCTGACATGGGTACAATGTGTGAAGCCCATTTCTGGTGTCCCCCGCCGTGATATTGCTGGAATATTGCTAAAAGCAGCGCTAAAAGCAGCGTAAAACCATACTCACTCACTCACTTTTTGTGACTTTTGTTGTGTTTGTTTGTTGTTTAATGACACACACAGCAATGTTCCAGATGACGGTGGTTTGTAAATTATCACGTCTGGACCAGACAATCCAGTGATGGACAGCATAAGAATCGATCTACGCAATTTGGATATGATGACATGCAAAGAACCAGTCAGCCAGCTTGACCATCCGATGCTGTTAGTCGCCTCTTACGACAAGCATAGTTGCCTTTTACGGCAAGAATTGGTTGCTGAAGACCTATTCTAACCCTGATCTTCACGGGTGACGTTTGTGTGAAAAGTTTTGAAAGAATAATGCAAAATGTAGGAGTCGGTGACTTGGTTCATTGCGTGTCATCGTACCCCAACGGTGTGGAACAGTTGCTCATGATATCAATCACTGGATTGTCTGGCCCATACTTGATTGTTTACATACAGCTGGAACATTGCGAGTGCAACATGAAACACACACACATTGGTTGCCGTACTGTGTAACATCGTTGCAGCCCAAGTGGAGCGAGTCGGAGATACCCCGCTCCGGGAGGTGCTGGAGAGCCTGGGAGGATGGCCACTCATTGACGCCAGCTGGGATCCATCCACCTTTGACCTTGAAGTGTTGCTGGGGAAACTGCGAGGGAAGTACAACGCTCCAGTTCTTATGGACATCTTGGTCAGCGCTGATGACAAAAACTCTTCCGTCAACATCCTACAGGTAGAAACAGGGCACCTATTAGCTCTTTCAACATCGAGTCCCCAGACACTGCAGCCTGTAGCCGTGTCAAAATATTATATAATTTTATGAACCTAACTGTCACATCATTCATGATTAAATCTATCATTTTTCACAATGTTTGAAAATATGTATTTCATTTCAACTTATCATATTTTATCGATTGATTAAAAATATTTTAAAACTATTTCCCACAATGTTATTGAAAACAAAGATTTCTAGGACACATGCTTCAGGACAACGGGTCCACATCACACATATCAAAGAGCAACATAAGGATGTTTCAAGCAAATCTTTAAATAAATTATATTTATAAAAGCAACAAAAATTTATCTAAAAGTTGTCAAACTTACCATCTTTTCATGCCATTACATTTTATGTAAGTCAAATGACATCCAGCTTTCGCCACCAGCATTATTAGGCTCGGACAGGCCAAAATATATGCAGGAGCATTCTGTATTAAAGGTCATAACCTAGCATAATACTTCCACGGAGTTCCATATTTTTAATATTGGTTGTGATTTCTTACTTAAACATTCAGAATAACACAATTTAACCAAAAGCTTTTGCCTAAATATGACATTTATCATGCACATGGACGGTATCTATGGCTGTAATTGATTGGCTGCCTAAGGCCAGGTGCTTGCATTTGATCAATCACGATCCTTGTAGCAGATTACAGCAAGATAGTGTCATTAGAAACTAATTTCTATCCAAATAAGATAGCATGTTACAGCTACGAAAATACTCCAGGGGTGATTACTGTCATATATTTCTAACACTGGACTGATAAAGCTGAAACTGAGAGTAATCCATCTTCCCAAAATGACACCAAATCTGCTGAAGAGGTTTTGATCAAACTTTTCAAATGGCCAACCATGGTTGCTTATTTTGCAGTCAGTTGCATGCTGACAGATATTAAAGGACTCAATTTTGGGAAAGGGATAATCCAAAATGTCAATCTTTTTAAATATACATTTAAACATGGGCTGTATGTAAACCAAACATAACAAAGCAGCACTGTGCTGAAGCTCACCTGGTACCTGCTGTACGGACCTTTGTTGCAATACGTCCATGCTAATTTTGCCTGAATATGCATATGCGCTAAACTTATCAGAAATGTACTTCTCCACCTTTGATAGGGATATTTTTGTCTCTCCATGATACTCAAAACGGATACTCATGTCAAGTGTATGTTTAAATAGAATGGCATATCTGATTATTAGGGCTGGGACGAGTCCAAATTTACTACCCGGGTACCATTCCCCCCTATTACCTAGCTGGGTACCCACTGTAGGCCTCAAGAGATAGGTACAAAATGTCCAATTGGGAATTTTTTTACCATAGCCCTGGCAAAACGTATTTGGATTCACGTATATAACAATCTGGTCATGCATACACTGATGTTGACTTTAGTTATATCTTTATTCAGCCATATAAAGTCAGAAGGAATGGGTGCATAATTTTTGTCATTAAACAATATATCATGTGACTAACCACAGGTCCGGGTAGTCCTGTGTGTACCTGGGTCCTACTCAGTACCCACCCGACCTGGGTAAAATGCATATACAAAATATTAGTAGTTTCAGTCATAGCTTTTTAGATAGATGCTAGTCTAAGGTAACGAGAACACATCTCCTAGACATACTATTCAATAAGACAAAAGTTATGTCTACATAGTTGAATAGATTTAAAGCTTTCAGATAAATACTAGCCCAAGGTATCAAGATCCCAACTCCCAGACATAATATCCAATAAGACAAAAGATATGTCTACATAGTCTTACAGATTGCCTTCAACTTATTTAAGTAAATCTGTCATCACCTATATTAGAAGAACATTCAGCAATTACTTCAATTTAGAGTCATTAAGGATTAGCCCCCATACAAGCTCGTCTATAGTGATACCATAATCTCTTTACAAGCATCCAGTAAATATGTCAACAAGATGAGTGCCAGTCCAACAGGATAAACAGGATTAAGTATTCCCCTCTGTCTCGCCATTCATTAACCACAGGGCACACCCCATCGTGTGTCAACCAATCATATTCCTTTTTTATTGTTCTAAGTTTTATTAAATACATACAGAAGCAAAATGTTAAGCAGAAGGGGTTTGACGCTCATACCAAGCAGACCTCTCTCTCACAGCCCAGAGGGTTGTACCGACTCTCTGTGGCACCCTCAGCTATATTTTAAAATATTGTAGATTGTTCATTGTTAATTGTTCTTGTAAATAAAACTGTGATTAGTCTCCTGTGACTCCGGCTCTTTGCTGGCTAATTCCCCCAAGAAAACCAGCACGCCATTTGGAAGGCTTTGTTCATCTGAACAGAACCATAATAAAATGATAAATAAGACACTACAGACATCCTGATGCTGTTTTGATTATAAAGGTCAGATGAGATATAAATACCTGTGTCTCCATGGCCATGAGACTTTATTCAACATGGCCTCTGTTCCCTCAGCTGTGAAATGATCTGTGATAGGATGAGATTGTGACGTCAATGGAAACCTTCCTGCAGCTTGTGATGTATGATCCCCAGGGAGCTGAGAATCCAATTGAATGCACAATGTCCCGTGAACGAGAGTAATGAGGTGTATCTACTCCCTCTGTGATGTTGCATCTTAGGCTATAAAGTGTATTATCATCACATGAAGGACTGCTTTGTGATGTGTAATTACATATTTTATCCAATCATGGAAGTTGAGGACTTGTATATATCCATCAAGAGAGATAGATCTGATCAGAGACTCTTTTTTCTATACCAGTACATAATCGTTCGTCACCACTCGCCCCTTTCCGTAACCTGCAAGAAGACTCATCCCCCTATCGATGAATGTTATGTGCGAAAATACGACAAACCAAACAGAATGCGCATATGACTTCAAGTACTTCGGTCAAAGAATCCCCCAGGAATAATTTTTGACTTAACATATGTCTTACATCTAAAAATATACCCAACATACAGTTTAATGTGTTCAAACATGCATTACGATACCGTAAGTCCCGATGTGTTTTAAGTAGCATCTGAAAAATATATATATATATGGGGAAATATATACGTGTTCATTACGCAACGAGTTGACAATTCTTTTAGTTATGCCCATTTGATGGAACCCACTCAACCACCCATAATCCTCCACCCACCCATCCACTCTCTCAACCACTCTCTCAACCACTCACTCAACCACTCACTCACCCAACCACTCACTCAACCACTCACTCAACCACGCACTCAATCACTCTCTCAACCACTCACTCAACCACTCACTCACTCAACCACTCACTCAATCACTCTCTCAACCACTCTCTCAACCACTCACTCAACCACCCATAATCCTCCACCCACCCATCCACTCTCTCAACCGCTCTCTCAACCACTCACTCACTCACTCAACCACTCACTCACTCAACCACTCACTCAACCACTCACTCAACCACGCACTCAATCACTCTCTCAACCACTCACTCAACCACTCACTCACTCAACCACTCACTCAATCACTCTCTCAACCACTCTCTCAACCACTCACTCAGCCACTCGCTCAACCACTCGCTCAACCACTCAACCACTCAACCACTCACTCACTCACTCACTCACTCACTCACTCACTCACTCACTCTTACAGATAGATCAGCCAAAGTTGGGGATGCCCAGTCGGGAGTACTACCTGCAGGCGGAGGACAAGGTGTATTTCCACGCATACTACAAGTACATGCTGGACGTGGCGCACCTGCTTGGGGCAGACATGCATAAGGCGCAGGACGAGCTGCACGAAGTCCTCGAGTTCGAGATCAAGCTGGCAAATGTGAGTTCCTGTGTTCATTATAATACTAAGAGAATAACCTATTCCAGAACCTTTTAATTTTCTTCCATTCTTGTCTTGTCACTTCAGTTACATTTTACTCCTGACCCATGGGCTGTGGTATAAGGAGCTTCCTAATCTGAAACAATCAGACTTTCTTTTGGCTTTGGTCAAGTGTCTTAAGTTGCACATTTTGTCACATCATCAGTGTTTGTTTGTTTGTTGTTTAACGTCACACTCATCAATATTCCAGCTTTATAATGGTGGTCTGTAAATAATTGAGTCTGTGCCAGACAGTCCAGTCATTAAAATCCATGCAATTAGGATACTATGACATGCCTCTAACGACAAGCATAGTCGCATGTTATGACAAGCATAGGTTGCGGAAGACCTCTTCTAACCCTGATCTTTACAAGGAACAAGCATAGGTTGCTGAAGACCAATTCTAACCCGGATCTTCATGGGCATATGATCAGTGTTTCAGTTTGCCAGGGGTCCGAGTCATTGACCATGTAAAAAGTAATTACTCACTTCTGATCTGAACCATCATTGTCACAATCTGAATGTCTGCTAATTCCCATGAGGACACTCAGTAAAACCCATGTTTTGGTAGAAAAATGCAGGAGAAATATGTTGATAGTATACAACATGATGAACATTGATAGACGATGAATTTTATTTAGCTGGAGTAGAAGTGGTTGATTTGAATTGGGATGTAACTCGGATTAACCAGGATCCTATTCAGCCCACTGGAAATGTCAAGTTGTATTTTGACAGAAAACTTTGGTTGGGTTGTTTGTTGTTTAATGCTGCACTCAGCAATATTCCAGCTATATGACAGCGGTCTGTAAATAATCGAGTCTGGACCAGACAATCCAGTGATTAATATCATGAGCATCGATCCACGCAATTGGTATAGATAACATGCATCAACCAAGTCAGCGAGCCTGACCACCCGATCCTGTTAGTCGTCTCTTACGACAAGCATAGTCACCTTTTACAGCAAGCATAGGTTGCTGAAGATCCATTCTTACACGGATCTTCACGTGTGACAGAAAACTTTGAAATATTGGTATGAAGGTTATCAGATGTGTCCAAATAATGGCTGATAGCTAGCCCTTTAACTTTGTTAGGCTTACAAGTTGTGGACTTCTGACATGAACAGTTAAAAAAGGTTTGACTGTAATTAGTGATTTTTTAAACTTCAAGAGAAAATCTAACATTGAGCAAGTTCTTCACAAAGGTGAATTTTTTACCATTCCAGTCTTAGATAACTTTTTCGAGAAAAACAACTTGGGTCAAGGACTTGGTCATGTTCAAATATTGAAAAAATGCTTCCTGAATAACCTTTAAAATAACATTAAAGCCTTGCCTAAACATTAGGAGTTGTCATTATACATCAAAACTGATTCCATATGACATGAAAGGAAAAATACTGGTAAATAACTGAAAATGAGTGACCCAGGTGTTCATGAAAAGGGTAATTATGTCCTGCCCTACCAGTTGCATCCAAAACATGCAACTTCTGAAATGAACAAAGTATAATTCTCATTCATATGAACTGATAATATGAACTAAACATCTTACTGATTCCTTAAGTCATGCAGATCCTGTGGGGTCAAGGTTACTCATCCTACCTTGACCATTTCCTCATGTTTGCAGGTGACAAAACCCCAGTCTGAGCGCCACGATACAGGCGCCATCTATGACAAGATGACCATTAAGGAGCTACAGCAAGTGACGCCAACCGTAAGTTCTTCACAGATGATGTTTCTAACTCCCATCCTTTTCTTTTCCTACCAACTTAACTTTTTGGGAAAACCAAAATAAATATTTGAAAATGGAATTTTATATATATTTTTATGGTTCGACCTACTGAACTTTTGGGCCAAAACAAGCCATAAAACAAAAGAAAAAAGGTTTGACCTAACAATGTGATGAAAGTTACTGCCAATCTCTGTGAAGCATGTTCACAGCTTTGGAACATATATTTTATGAGTGATTCGCACAAGTTTGCACTCATCTTCACCTTAAATTAGGCAAGCACAACATTTGAAATTCTGGAATTGCCTGCAAAATCATTTTTCAAAAATAATTTGTTCAAGTAAATATTGAAAAAAACTTGGCCTTCAGGTATAACAAAATGTGTTTGACTGTTCGGTCTGAAAATAAATTGTGGGTCAATTTTTTCAACTTAACTTTTCAGAGAAAATAAATTATATGTCTTAAAGAAGAGACCGATATAATATTCTTCCTCTTACTGAATATTAATGGTCAGTCCATTTACATTTCCACTGAGTTGACAACTAAAGTCATACTCTCATAATCTCTGTTCCCACTCGTATGTAAAAAACAAACACTGCATATTTACATTATACAATGATGTCTACTTGTCAAATGTTTATTCATATGTGCTGATACTTGTGTTTGTATGCTGCAGTTTGACTGGGTGCGATACTTCAACCTGTTCATGCCGTACCCAATCACAGAGCAGGAGCCGGTGGTCGTGTTTGCTGCGGAGTACCTTCACGACATGTTTAACACTGTCATGGAAACAGACAGACAGTAAGTCCATGCTCTCCCAGTTGCAATGAATCATGTCATATTTCTTTACTCTGTGATGCTTTTTGACATATATCCCTCACAACAAAAGGCAGATTGTGTACCAAATTAAAACAAACTAAGCAAAAGTTTTGAAAATGAGTTTTGTTGATTTCACCTCTCAGGACAGTCGTCAACTACATCATGTGGAGGGTCATTCTAAACTTTGCTGCTGAGTTGACAGAATCCTATCAACATGTGGGGCGCCAGTACAGACGAGTCCTACAGGTAGGCAGTGTTAAGATCAGCCCCACAGGTAGGCAGTGTTTAGATCAGCCTTACAGGTAGGCAGTGTTTAGATCAGCCCCACAGGTAGGCAGTGTTTGGATCAGCCCCACAGGTAGGCAGTGTTTGGATGACTCAGACAGGTAGGCAGTGTTTAGATCAGCCACACAGGTAGGCAGTGTTTAGATCAGCCCCACAGGTAGGCAGTGTTTAGATCAGCCCCACAGATAGGCAGTGTTTAGATCAGCCCCACAGATAGGCAGTGTTTAGATCAGCCCCACAGGTAGGCAGTGTTTGGAAGACTCCAACAGGTAGGCAGTGTTTGGATCAGCCACATAGGTAGACAGTGTTTGGATCAGCCCCACAGGTAGTCAGTGTTTAGATCAGTCCTACAGGTAGGCAGTGTTTGGATGAGCCCCACAGGTAGTCAGTGTTTGGATCAGCCCCACAGGTAGTCAGTGTTTAGATCAGTCCTACAGGTAGGCAGTGTTTGGATCAGCCACATAGGTAGACAGTGTTTAGATCAGTCCCACAGGTAGACAGTGTTTAGATCAGTCCCACAGGTAGTCAGTGTTTAGATCAGTCCCACAGGTAGACAGTGTTTGGATCAGCCCCACAGGTAGTCAGTGTTTAGATCAGTCCTACAGGTAGGCAGTGTTTGGATCAGCCACATAGGTAGACAGTGTTTAGATCAGTCCCACAGGTAGGCAGTGTTTAGATCAGCCCCACAGGTAGGCAGTGTTTAGATCAGCCCCACAGATAGGCAGTGTCTAGATCAGCCCCACAGGTAGGCAGTGTTTTATAAAACCCTACAGTTAGGCAGTGTTTAGATAAGCCCCACAGGTAGGCAGTGTTTAGATCAGCCCCACAGGTAGGCAGTGTTTGGAAGACTCCAACAGGTAGTCAGTGTTTAGATCAGTCCTACAGGTAGGCAGTGTTTAGATCAGCCCCACAGGAAGGCAGTGTTTGGATGACTACAACAGGTAGGCAGTGTTTAGATCAGTCCTACAGGTAGGCAGTGTTTAGATCAGCACCACAGGTAGGCAGTGTTTGGATGACTCCAACAGGTAGACAGTGTTTAGATCAGCCCCACAGGAAGGCAGTGTTTAGATCAGCCCCACAGGTAGGCAGTGTTTGGATGACTCCAACAGGTAGACAGTGTTTAGATCAGCCCCACACATAGGTAGTATGTGGATGACTCCCAACAGGTAGTCAGTGTTTAGATCAGCCCCACAGGAAGGCAGTGTTTAGATCAGCCCCACAGGTAGGCAGTGTTTATATCAGCCCCACAGGTAGGCAGTGTTTGGATGACTCCAACAGGTAGACAGTGTTTAGATCAGCCCCACAGGTAGGCAGTGTTTATATCAGCCCCACAGGTAGGCAGTGTTTAGATCAGCCCCACAGATAGGCAGTGTTTAGATCAGCCCCACAGGTGGGCAGTGTTTAGATCAGCCCCACAGATAGGCAGTGTTTAGATCAGCCCCACAGATGGGCAGTGTTTAGATCAGCCCCACAGATAGGCAGTGTTTAGATCAGCCCCACAGATAGGCAGTGTTTAGATCAGCCCCACAGATAGGCAGTGTTTAGATCAGCCCCACAGGTGGGCAGTGTTTAGATCAGCCCCACAGATAGGCAGTGTTTAGATCAGCCCCACAGATAGGCAGTGTTTAGATCAGCCCCACAGATGGGCAGTGTTTAGATCAGCCCCACAGGTGGACAGTGTTTAGATCAGCCCCACAGATAGGCAGTGTTTAGATCAGCCCCACAGGTGGGCAGTGTTGAGATCAGCCCCACAGATAGGCAGTGTTTAGATCAGCCCCACAGATAGGCAGTGTTTAGATCAGCCCCACAGATAGGCAGTGTTTAGATCAGCCCCACAGGTGGGTAGTGTTTAGATCAGCCCCACAGATAGGCAGTGTTTAGATCAGCCCCACAGGTGGGCAGTGTTTAGATCAGCCCCACAGGTAGGCAGTGTTTGGATGACTCCAACAGGTAGGCAGTGTTTAGATCAGCCCCACAGATAGGCAGTGTTTAGATCAGCCCCACAGGTGGGCAGTGTTTAGATCAGCCCCACAGGTAGGCAGTGTTTGGATGACTCCAACAGGTAGGCAGTGTTTATTTCAGCCCCACAGGTAGGCAGTGTTTAGATCAGCCCCACAGGTAGGCAGTGTTTAGATCAGCCCCACAGGTAGGCAGTGTTTGGATGACTCCAACAGGTAGGCAGTGTTTAGATCAGCCCCACAGATAGGCAGTGTTTAGATCAGCCCCACAGGTGGGCAGTGTTTAGATCAGCCCCACAGGTGGGCAGTGTTTAGATCAGCCCCACAGGTAGGCAGTGTTTGGATGACTCCAACAGGTAGGCAGTGTTTAGATCAGCCCCACAGATAGGCAGTGTTTAGATCAGCCCCACAGGTAGGCAGTGTTTAGATCAGCCCCACAGGTGGGCAGTGTTTAGATCAGCCCCACAGGTAGGCAGTGTTTGGATGACTCCAACAGGTAGGCAGTGTTTAGATCAGCCCCACAGGTAGGCAGTGTTTATATCAGCCCCACAGGTAGGCAGTGTTTAGATCAGCCCCACAGATAGGCAGTGTTTAGATCAGCCCCACAGGTAGGCAGTGTTTGGATGACTCCAACAGGTAGGCAGTGTTTAGATCAGCCCCACAGGTAGGCAGTGTTTGGATGACTCCAACAGGTAGGCAGTGTTTAGATCAGTCCTACAGGTGGACAGCATTCAGAATCAAAAGTATGAGCACAAAGGGTAATTTATTAGAGGGGAGTGGGGCCTGGTGAGATTAAGGCAGGATTTCAAATAATTTTCTTTTCAATAAAATGAACATATTTAGGGACTGGTAATGAATTATAGGGAGGGGGGTCATGAAAAAGTGATTGAAAAGCAATAATTGCTTTGATGAAAGCTGTTTTTACCCCACAACACAGGGCGTGAAACGTGACAAGATACGCTGGCAGAAGTGCGTGGAGTACGTCAACAAGCGGATGGGCATGGCCGTGGGCAGCATGTTCATCAGAGACAACTTCAAGAAGGAGAGCAAGGACACGGTATGATGGACGAAATGTTGCTGGACTGAGCATGTCAGTTTTAATGCCACTTTGTAATATTTCAGCTATATCATGGCATGTCAGGTTAATGTTGAAGGAAAACCGACAGTGGTACAGTGAGTGAGTGAAAACGGTTTTACGCCGCTTTTAGCAATATTCCAGCAATATCACGGCAGGGGACACCAGAAATGGGCTTCACACATTGTACCCATGTCGGGAATCGAACCCGGGTCTTCGGCGTGAGACACTGGTACAGGTCGATAAACTCTGTTCTGACAATGAAATTAATAATCATTACCAGATTGAATCTGGTCTCAAACTTACAATCAGCAGATCCTTGCATGGCTAAGGGACGTGACTCTTCTTAGTAAGTTACAGTTAGAGCACCTTAGACCATTGAGTTACCTATAGCTGTTCCTCCTCGGTGATCACCTACACAAGCTACCAGTTTTGATTCCAAACATAGAATGATAATTATCATAGTAGCTTCTGAGAGTTTCTTCTGCTTCGGTCCTAGGTTACATAAGGTGTCACCTTAGGCAAGACACTTTGTACACAATATGCCTCTGTTCACCCAGCAGTGAATGGGTACCCTGTCGGATGAGATGGCAACACATGTGCCTCACATGGCAACTTGATTTGTATACTCCCCAGGAGGCTGAGAATGAAACTTAATCAAATAATTTTGCGGCATCAGCATTCAGTTGGAGAATGGACTCTGGCACATTATATATTGACCCTAATTTTCTGACATATTACATAATTTTATTTTTTGTGTATTTGCATCGTTCTTTATTTCAGTAATGACAAAAAATTCAAAGAAGGTCAATGTCAGTTTTATTTCTTCATTTATATTTTACTCAACACCATTTCTTTTTAGATCTCATGTATTTTATGATTTATAGTTTTATTTTATTATCGAACATGGGACCTAAATCAATGAGTTGAAATTTTGAAAGCTGACTGGATCCCAAATGTATTTGTGCAGGCTTTGGAGATGATCCACGATATCCGAGAAGCCTTCAACGAACTCCTGGAAGAGAACCATTGGATGGATGAAATCACAAAGTCATTTGCCAAGGAGAAGGTACTGGGTTATGTACACTCCCCAGGGAGTTGAAAATGCAGTTTGAATGCACAATTCATTATCATTATCATCATCTATTATTATTATTGTTATTATTGTTATTATTATTATTATTATTATTATTATTATTATTATTATTATTACCTGCCACGAAGTGGAAGGGGGATATAGAAATGGGTGCTGTCTGTCAGTCTGTCACGTTTCGTTTCCAGAGCAGAACTAAAAAAACATGAGAGAAATCTCAACTAAACTTGGCACATACATAGGTCTAGTGGTGAACTGGTGCCTTTTGATAGTTTGGGAGTTTTAAAAAATTATTTTTGAGTTTCCATGGCAGTATAGCCCCTTTCTGGAGCAGATCTTGAAAATTTCTTCACCAAACTTGGCCCATAGATAGGTTTATTATTAGTTTTAAAAATTTATTTTTCGAGTTTCTATTGTAATGACTTTGACTTTGACTGACAATGGCAGTTGTGCTCGTTTCTGGAGGCCTAATGCCTTGCAAACAACTGGACATGTCATATTGGCGGGGCATATGAGTATATCATGCTTGTTGTTGTTGTTGTTGTTATTGTTGTTGTTGTTATAAATGGTGAATATTTTATCTGCAGGCCAATGCTATGAATGAACGAATCGGCTACCCAGATTTCATCAAGGACAGCAAGAAACTGGATGAAAAATATAGCCTGGTTAGTGTCCAGTAGGGAAGTCAATAATAAGGCTGGAATTTTGTTTACAGCATGCAATGGTGGCTAAGGTAACCCAAGACGGTGTTCAGTCTTGGATCCCTTAGTTTTGTGTGTTTTGAATCTAAGGTTATTGCGGATTCTGAGGATGTGACCTTTCACCACCACACCCCTGGCGTGGCTGATTTCAATGGTAGACATTTGCATCTCTGAAGCTGTACAATGTACAGAACATGTGTGTTGGGATTTTAGTCAGTGGTTGCAATGTCAAAACCTTTTCGAAAGTGAATGCGAATCTTGGGAAATAATCTGACTTGTTTTATTTTTCCTGGTTAAGGAAAGTTCGGTGTCTCCTAATTATGAGTGTCTGTCTCTACCCCTCTTCTTATCAATTTGTGTCCAGACATTGGACCGCTTTCTTCCAGTCTGCAACAAGCATGTACGTAAACTGGAGATGTAAATAAACTATTGCACGTCTGTCTCATTTCTCCTGATTGGCTACTTCAGTTTTTGGCAAAGGACTCCAGTCCATTATATCCCAACCCGTGCTTGAGGTGAGGTGATACCATGCCACAGTTTAACATGGATATCCTACTCAGACATTCTATACTGACTCCTAGCCTACCAGTCTTTATTTTATACACTTTATGCCGAGTGCCGGGCAGGGTAAAAACAAGTACCATCTTTTAACGTCTTACATATGACTAACCGGGGATCGAACCACCAACCTTTCACTCTCTGGGCAGATGCTCATAAATGTAAACATCATCGCAGTTTTAGACTCTCACTGATTCACCTTACTGAACCATCGTCAGTCATCACTCAAAGAGTGAATGAAAGAGAAAAGGAGTACATATAGTTACCTAAGCTCTCTAACACCTGTAGCAGTTATTTAGGTTGTGAATATATGGGGGTAGAAATACTTAATTACTACAAATCTAAACGATTAAAGGATATATATATTATTTCTAAATTAAGACGATATTTACTTATGTGAGTTCCGATTGTTGTGTTCAGCTGCAGTTTGACGCACAGCAGTACTTCAGGAACATCCTACGAGTGGAGGAATACAGCGCCATCAACATGATGAGGAAACTGCGTGAACCGGTCCGGAAGGACACGTAAGTCCCACTGATGTCGTATTGAAAGAAGCACCCCATAAATGCCCAGGAACAATGAGGCAGTTGATTTCTTGTCTCGAGGTGGTTTTATACTACTCAAAAGAAGTTAAGGTCACTCTGATTCTTTTATGTTACTATAGTTAATCTGTCATGCCAAATGATGTGTAACACGACACTTTGGGAAACCCCTACGTAAGCCTATTCAGAACGTTGGTAAGCAGTTTATTGAGAAAGAAGGCATAACATCAATGTATGGAGCTTGAAAGTAGTTCCTGGAGCTGGGTGACATCATTTGCATATTTATCGGATTTATCACACCGATAACACCAGCTATTAAATGATAAAACCTGTTCTAATTTCAGTTGGGAGCAGGACCCTGCCGTTGTGAATGCTTTCTACAATCCCAACAGGAATGATATCGGTATGTTGTGAATGCTTATTGGTATGTTGTGAATGCTTATCGGTATGTCGTGAATGCTTTCTACAATCCCAACAGGAATGATATCAATATGTTGTGATTGCTTATCAGTATGTTGTGAATGCTTTATACAATCCCTACAGGAATGACATTGGTATGTTGTGAATGCTTATCAGTATGTTGTGAATGCTTTATACAATCCCTACAGGAATGATATCAGTATGTTGTGAATGCTTATCGGTATGTTGTGAATGCTTTCTACAATCCCTACAGGAATGATATCAGTATGTTGTGAATGCTTATCGGTATGTCGTAAATGCTTTCTACAATCTCTACAGGAGTGATATGGGTATGTTGTGAATGCTTTCTACAATCCCTAGGGAATGATATTGGTATGAGGGATGGAGGTAGGGAGTGAGAGAGAGATTCAGAAAACTACTGATAACCTTTATGTTTTTTAGGAAATGTAACATTTGATACCTCTGACCAAGGCTGTCAATTCCAAATGAAAGTTCATCTCCTAAATGAGCACAAGAAGTTGTGTTACTGTTGTTCTTCTATTAAACAAATGGATATCTCTGACATGTCATGTTGATGTTGCAGTGTTTCCAGCCGGCATCCTCCAGCCGCTCTTCTACAGCAGACATTTTCCCAAGTAAGGAACTGTCACTTTGCTTTAAGTTTGTTGTACGTCTCTTCATAACAAGTCTTACAGAATTTCAGCTTTCTCTCTTTCTCGTTTTTGAGATCCTTACAAGCTTTTCTTACAAAAACCCGAACACTTTTTCACATTTTTAGAATATTTATATACCGGGTACATGTATATCCTTTTTCGGCAAACATGTAATTATAATTTTGTCAACAAACACAAGTCTTTTTATTGTGAGTGTGTGTGTGAGAGAGAGAGAGAGAGAGACAGACACACACACACTTCCTCACACACACACACACACACACACACACACTCCCTCACACACACACACAAACACACACACACACACACACACACACACACACACACACACAGCCAACCAAATGACCCGCCACCTATCCACCCCAACCCCATTATATCATAAAGATCATCACTAAGTGCAACTGAAAGGCTTCCAGACCTAAGGTATCACATGATCTCAACATGGCATGATTGGATTGATTTGTGTGCAATGTACATTGGTTTATGAACCTGACTATGAACTTTTAAAATGTTATATAAAATCATCACTGAGGAGATGATGTAGTGGGAATGCTGAAGCACAGGTTCAAACAGTCAAAGTGCAAAATCTAATCTGGAATAGGCTGAAATATTTCCAACATGCAAATGAAAAATAATCAATATTCAAATAAAGACTTGTCATTCACAAACACCTAGCTTTCATAATTGGACTAAATAATTTAATAGTGTTTACAGTTTTTTAATTTCTTCGTCGGTCATGTTATCAATTTTTTCAGTGGTGTAAATATTGTTTGAAGCAGCATTCACTTGAGGGATCATTCATTATCTGAAATCGTCTGACTTGTATACTAATGGTTTTTATGTTGCAGGTCACTCAACTATGGAGGTATTGGTGTGGTGATTGGACATGAAATAACACATGGATTTGATGACAAAGGTATTTGATGTTATTTCAGCATTCAAGTCAAGAGTGATTGTTTTCTGTATTGATGACGACGAGAAGGAGACTACTCCCAATCTGGTGCCGTTTTTGTGTCAAGATTTAAATATTGAAATTAGTTCCATGTGTGAAACTTTGACACTGTCACTGTGTAATTAGACGAAGCATGAATGAGTACATTGCCATACATAACAGATATGCACAGACAGACAAACAAACATAACAGACATGCACAGACAGACAAACAGACATGCAGACAGACAAACATAACAGACATGCACAGACAGACAAACAAACATAACAGACAGACAAACAGACATGCACAGACAGACAAACAAACATAACAGACATTCACAGACAAACAGACATGCACAGACAGACATGAACAGACAGACAAACAAACATAACAGACATGCACAGACAGACAAAGAAACATAACAGATATGCACAAACAGACATGCACAGACAGACAAACATAACAGACATGCACAGACAGACAAAGAAACATAACAGATATGCACAAACAGACATGCACAGACAGACAGACAAAGAAACATAACAGACATGCACAAACAGACAAACAAGATGGAGACTGAGGGACATGAATCAAATTGCTGGGTGCCCCATTGATGGAGCATTGTGTACGAAGCAATGTTTTGAATGTTCCTGGGCTGGGACAAGCTGACCTTTACTTCCTGGTCACCCAACGCCCTATTACCTGTCCCTATCGGAGCTCCGGCACAAACTATTTTCATACACATGTAAAATGATCTGGTCATGCATATAAAGAAGCCAGAAGTAATGCATGCAGAGTCAGAAAGAAATGTGAACATTAGCAACTTGTAGTGTAACCATGCAGTTGAAACAATGTCACTGTCATTAAACAATGTACGATGTGACAAGCCTCGGGTCTGGGCAGTCCTGTGAGTCGTACACAAGTAACCAGTCCCAGCCCTAGATACACGATTTGAAACACAATGAATACACAGTGGCCGTACTATCGTCATGCAGTGAAACTTCGTTAATCTGGATGGTGTTGATGCAAGCAAAATTGTGTTGATTACCGGTAACACGTTTTTGGATTTACGTAGTTATGTCCAAATATAGATTGATGCTTCTCCCAGGAATTATCCTGGAGGCGAAATTTCACTGTAATTTTAACTCTGCTGAAGTGGTTTTCTGGAAGTGCTGATTCTGTTTCAAAACAAGACAAACAAACTTTTCTCAAGAGGAAACAAGTAATCCTTGATTTAACTTATTAAAATTATAGGGAACTGGTATTTAACGCCACATTAATGGAAATCTTACACTAAAAGTGACATCAGTTCATGATAGATTAGTGACATATTTAACTCATTTTAAAGCTGCAATTAACTAAGTTTACACATGAAAAATTGGATTCGACCCAAAATTACAAATGACATTAAAACATTACTAGGCTGAGAAACGGTTGCCCAAACACTGCAAACCTTAGGTACATAACACAGCTAGGATTGATACCCGTATCAAATACATCACCAACAAGTTACCATTTCTTACTCGTTTCATTTCTTAGCCACCATCAAACAAGGGTTCACTTTCATTTGCCAGTCAGTTTATTTACTGGGAGTTGGGATAAATAAGGTTGAATATTGCAACGTTAGACAACATTCATCCACTCGAGACAGATTGTAATGCTTTTTCAGTATCAGATGTAATTGTTTGTATCTGTGGGTATTGGTGTTCTGGTTTGATTGGGTATTTTCAAAGAAACACAATACCATGTGACATGTTATCTCCTCTAGGACGTCAGTACGACAAAGATGGGAATCTAAAGCAATGGTGGGATGAGGACACCATCCAAGCATTCCGAAACCAGGCCCAGTGCATGATCAACCAGTATTCTGGCTACAAGCTGGAGCAGATAGGGATGTATGTGAGTATATTCACCAGCCCAGTGCATGATCAACCAGTATTCTGGCTACAAGCTGGAGCAGATAGGGATGTATGTGAGTATATTCACCAGCCCTATGCATGATCAACCAGTATTCTGGCTACAAGCTGGAGCAGATAGGGATGTATGTGAGTATATTCACCAGCCCAGTGCATGATCAACCAGTATTCTGGCTACAAGCTGGAGCAGATAGGGATGTATGTGAGTATATTCACCAGCCCAGTGCATGATCAACCAGTATTCTGGCTACAAGCTGGAGCAGATAGGGATGTATGTGAGTATATTCACCAGCCCAGTGCATGATCAACCAGTATTCTGGCTACAAGCTGGAGCAGATAGGGATGTATGTGAGTATATACACCAGCTCAGTGCATGATCAACAAGTATTCTGGCTACAAGCTGGAGCAGATAGGGATGTATGTGAGTATATACACCAGCTCAGTGCATGATCAACAAGTATTCTGGCTACAAGCTGGAGCAGATAGGGATGTATGTGAGTATATACACCAGCTCAGTGCATGATCAACCAGTATTCTGGCTACAAGCTGGAGCAGATAGGGATGTATGTGAGTATATTCACCAGCCCAGTGCATGATCAACCAGTATTCTGGCTACAAGCTGGAGCAGGTAGTAATGTATGTGAGTATATTCACCAGCCCTATGCATGATCAACCAGTATTCGGGCTACAAGCTGAAGCAGGTAGGGATGTATGTGAGTATATACACCAGCCCAGTGCATGATCAACCAGTATTCTGGCTACAAGCTGGAGCAGATAGTAATGTATGTGAGTATATACACCAGCCGAGTGCATGATCAACAAGTATTCCAGCTACAAGCTGGAGCAGATAGTAATGTATGTGAGTATATACACCAGCTCAGTGCATGATCAACCAGTATTCTGGCTACAAGCTGGAGCAGATAGGGATGTATGTGAGTATATACACCAGCTCAGTGCATGATCAACCAGTATTCTGGCTACAAGCTGGAGCAGATAGGGATGTATGTGAGTATATTCACCAGCCCAGTGCATGATCAACCAGTATTCTGGCTACAAGCTGGAGCAGGTAGTAATGTATGTGAGTATATTCACCAGCCCTATGCATGATCAACCAGTATTCGGGCTACAAGCTGAAGCAGATAGGGATGTATGTGAGTATATACACCAGCCCAGTGCATGATCAACCAGTATTCTGGCTACAAGCTGGAGCAGATAGGGATGTATGTGAGTATATACACCAGCCCAGTGCATGATCAACAAGTATCCCGGGTACAAGTTGGAGCAGATAGTAATGTATGTGAGTATATTCACCAGTCCAGTGCATGATCAACCAGTATTCTGGCTACAAGCTGGAGCAGATAGGGATGTTTGCGAGTATATACACCAGCCCAGTGCATGATCAACCAGTATTCCGGGTACAAGTTGGAGCAGATAGGGATGTATGTGAGTATATACACCAGCCCAGTGGTGTGTTCAACAAGTATTCCAGCTACAAGCTGGAGCAGATAGTAATGTATGTGGGTATATACACCAGCCCAGTGCATGATCAACCAGTACTTTCGGCTACAAGCTGGAGCAGATAGGGATGTATGCGAGTATTTACAATGATAACTGGAATGCAAAGAAACAAACATGATCTGAAACATCATTCATCTTGTTTGTACTTTTGTCTGACTGGAAAGAAGTCGGCCAAAGTATGCCTACATTTGTCAAATGCACCTATCTATCATTCTATCTAATTGATGAAGTAGTTGAGATTTATGTCATTTAGGTCAAACTGCAACAAAGACCACCAGATCGTTCCCTAAACAACATGCTGTATGATGTGATGACGTATGATACGACATGATGTGAGATGATTAACTTAATACATGTTGACCACAATTTTTGTGCATTGGGAATCTACTGCTAAACAAAAAAGAAAAACTGGTGTGAACACCAAGTTTTGGGACAGAAGGCATTCCATGCGCAAAGGAAGAACCCATTTCCATTGAACAGGGGACGGCAATGGAGTGTGACGTCATACATGTTCAAGCTCTACATGTGTTCATCCAAGCATGTCAACAACACGTGAACTGTAGCTGTTCACATTCGTGAAGTGATTGTAGAAGATAACTGTCTTGGACTGCTAAGATATTAATCATAGATTTGTAGCTTTAATGTTTGGACTCTGATACAGTTGGTCATCAGCCAGCGAACACACAACCAACTTGCCCACAAATAAACTTTCCACCCCTCCTTTGCATGGATTATCCAGAGCCATGGGTTCGATTTCCAGGATTTGATATTTCTTAAGCTTGGTCAGCAGGAAAGCACAGGTCATGTATGGAGTGGATTAGATATGTTCTGTGTGATTCTATACCTAACCAGACTTCGGCTGCTTGACTCTGTACCTGACTGGACTAATGTCCCCCTTTCACTACGACCACGAATTACCCAGAATCACCCTGAATCGGAAACTTTCAAAATTCGTGGTGATTCTGCCAATAATGCAAACTTTCGTGGCTAATCGGGTTGAAAAATATGAAGAATGCCAGGAATTGGTTAAGACACATGTACGAATTACAAGATTCCTGCACGAATTGTAAGAATCACCTACGACTAAGTTACGAATATGCCGAATGTTGTTCTTACTTAATTCTTACATGATTCTTAGTTGACTCAGGACATTCATGGTTGTTTTGGGAAGTTTTTGGTTTGAGGACAAGAAATTTTTGGAGCCAAGAATCGCTAAGAATAGCCAAGAATGCAAAAGAATAGCCAAGAATGCAAAAGAATAATGGTTGATAAACACATTTTGCAAGCCCACTATCTTATATCTCGGGGCCTTCAGAATTTTGTTACAGACAGGACATCTTTTGCAGTCACAACTTTAAAACACAGGAGTAGCGGAACAGTTTACATTTTTTCACAACACAATCTATTTTCAGGACATCAAGCATGTCCAGCCAACAATTTGTCTTTTGTGAAACATGAGGACAAACTGGTTTTGTTCAGTAACTGTATGCAATACATAGCAGCATTTATTACTCCCGTAGTCTAGTCTATAAGGTGTTTGTAAACCAGTGAGTAGACTTTAATTACAAGAACCCATTCTGCTGGAAATGTGGTATCAGAAGACTTCCAATTTGCATCTGTTCATGTGCTGTCCCAGTTGTGTCACAAGCTCACAACAACGATAGTGCCTTAGGGAGATGAAGCATTTTTGTGTATTATTGATTACAATAAAGATCATGTACACGTGCATTCAATCAGTGAAAAAGTGAAAGTTGAAAAGGCTATTTTGGGTACTTATGCACAGTATTGTTGGGGCTTTGAAATTTTTCAGGTATCTTTTTACACAAGCAGCTTAAAATAAAGTGGTTTATGGTGTGCTGTTTTGTGTATTTTATTCACAGTATGTCACAAAGGGAACAAAGCTGTGATTGTTTGACGCGTAAGATGTCCCAACCCCTCAAGAACCAAAGGGACACTTTCTGCAAGTATATGGGTACCAAGTAGGAAGGTACATTATCAGGATGGTTTCCATGGGTACTGTCTGCAGTATCTGGTACGACCAACCACAGGGAAGATGAGGGAACATTAGAAGAAAATTCAAATATGGTAATTCTATTTCTATTCCAGCTTGATGGTAAGAACACCCAGGGAGAGAACATCGCAGATAACGGAGGACTGAAACAGGCATACAGAGTGAGTTGCTACTCTTTTCTATACATATGTTCTATTCCTAATATATGATAACTATAACGCAGAAACACACCAGGCTCTTTATGATTTAACGCCTTTCTTGACTGCCTTCATGGTCTTGTATAGCATCCACCTGGAGAGCGAAAGGTCCAGGGTTCAATCCCCAGCCGCATCATACCAAAAGATGTTGAAAGATAGAACTTGTTACCCTGCCTGACACTCAGGGTCTAAAACAAGGACTAGTCGGCTCGGAGTCGGTATACTGTGTCTGAGTATACAAGTGCAATAATCTTGGACGCAATGTTTAACCCCATTTCACCTCACCTAATGTCTTTCTAAAAGTATGATGGATGTTACAGACGTATTTGCCCTCGCTAAAGTGACTTTAGAAACCATTAATGAATACAAAGTTAGAGTGAGGCACCCCACACATCATATAGTACCAAATGATTTGTATTTCCCTGCAGGCCTACAGGAAGTGGGTGCAGGAACATGGAGAGGAGCAGCTTCTACCAGGCATCGGACTGAGTCACAACCAGCTCTTCTTCCTCAATTATGCCCAGGTAGGTGACTCAAGTGTCTTCAAGTAGATTTCAGAGCAATATGCTGCGATTTTAAGATGTGATAGATGTAATCATTACATTCTAGAGGGCTTCAGAAGTCATCAGGAACCACAGAGGTACATTCAAATGTCACACAGACGCAGTTTGCAAAAAGCTTTTCAATAAAGGTTTCACCATCAAAGACCTGTTTTAGTTATTCCAGTAGTTTGGTAGACATTCAGAGGTATAATGACTCAGTATGATCTGTGGCCTGTCAACATTACGTGTGATAATACTGCATACTGATTTTCTTTCTCTTTCTTGGGCCCTTAAGATCTGTTTGTTTAGGACGTTCCATTCGCTGTTTTCATGACAATGTAAACAATCTCATTTTCTGGTTTCTTTAATTGAGTGCTTATTGATCAGTTCAAAGTTGTGTATGTGTTGTGCCCTCATGTTGTCTTTCCAGATCTGGTGTGGGAAGATGCGAGATGAAGAAGCTCTTCACAAGATACGCACAGCAGTCCACAGTCCCGGACCTCTCCGGATCCTGGGGCCGCTCTCCAACTCACTTGACTTTGCCGAAGCATACAATTGTCCCATTGGAAGTCGCATGAATCCGACAAAAAAGTGCTCTGTGTGGTGATTCCAGTGTGAGATTCATCCATGATGATGACCTTCATTCAAGGTCACACCGAACTCGAGCCAAGCAAAGATTAAAGTTCAAGAGAATCAGCTGTGTTTTCTCTGTGACTCATTGGTTGTGACAGCAGCAGATGTATCTCTACTCTGGAACTCAAGATTCCTGAACAACTCAGTACACTTTCATGCTGAACTGAAACTTCATTCAATATGTATTCAAACTGCAATATACTGGAGCCAAATCTTGATGACATTTTTTTTACATGGGTAATATTTTGATCTATGTTAAATTTGGTGTGGTGGTGAAATGGGTAAATATGGACGTGATGCTTGCCTGTCTGTCCGTCCATACAGGGAGATGTTGGAAACCTGGACATTGTCAATACCATATATGGAAGTGAACACATTTAATGGAGCAAACATATATGGAGGTGAACGCTTGTTAGGGAATTGACATATATGGCTCTTAATGTCTGTGTAAAAGACGTGTGGTGGTGAGAAATGAATAATGTGGCGTGGGTGGAGTACAGTAATTCAATGGAGAAGGGACGAGTGGAAAAGCCAAACTTAAAATGGGAGGAGAGCCAAAGCCATATGTGGAACGGAGAAGATGGAAAAGCCGTATACTGAAAGATGAGGAGTGGAAAAGCTAAATATTGAATGAGAGGAGTGGAACAGCCATATATATTGAAAGAGGAGGATTGGAACAGCCATATATGTTAAAAGGGGAGGAGTGGAAAAGCCATATATATTGAAAGGGGAGGAGTGGAAAAGCCATATATATTGAATGGGAGGTGCGGAAAGGCCACATATATTGAATGGGGGGAGTGGAAAGGCCATATATATTGGATGGGAGGAGTGGAAAGGCCATATATATTGAATGGGAGGAGTGGAAAGGCCATATATATTGGATGGGAGGAGTGGAAAGGCCATATATATTGAATGGGAGGAGTGGAAAGGCCACATATATTGAATGGGGGGAGTGGAAAGGCCATATATATTGAATGGGAGGAGTGGAAAGGCCATATATATTGAATGGGAGGAGTGGAAAAGTCATATATGGAGGGGGAAAGTTGGACAATGAAAGTTTTTTCCTGAAGGAAATTGTTCAGATGAAAAGATTCTTTGGTTCCAATAGGAGTTGATGATTCCACAAGAAATATGGTGTTATCCTCAAAGACTTAAAATGCTTATGTATTGCTAGAAACATCATTTGAAGTTTAAATTTAATAAACAGAAATAAAATAGAAAATATGAAAGCTATTCATGAAACAATGTGATCATGTTAGCCTTGACCCCAGATGATAATAACAGAAATATTCTGAATTTTTGTGTTTCATCCCATTGAGGTAGCTATTGAAATTCCTATCTTCCTAATCTGCAGATTTTTGTGTCGCTTGATTAATATTTTTGTCAGTTGGAGTAAAATATTTATGCGTTATTAGTTTTGTTGGTCCATTTTGGTAGGAAGATTAGGGGAAAAGGAACATCAATGATAGTATGTATATTACTTCAAGCTGTTGCGTTCAATTAGGATATATACTACTCAAAAGAAGTAAAGGATCACCTGATTCTTTCATATTACAATAGTTAATCTCTCATGCCATGACAGATTAACTTTACCAATATGAAAGAATCGGGTGATCCTTAACTTCTTTTGAGTAGTATATATGATGTGGCACTGTGACAGCAGGTAGCATCTGAAATAGGTTTTTGAAACCAACAGACTGCAGCATTTGCTGGTGGTTGGTTAGACAATGATGAAGATGTGTGTGTGCAATATATCATGACTTCTTTCATGTACATGTTCTTGTTCACTGTCCGTGGACTGTATACTGTATATTACATGTATCAATTATCATTACATATTCAGGGACCAGTCATTAACTATAGCAGGGGATGTTTTGCCATGGTGCATGACATACAGTTATCTCATTTGAAAATGATTTGGCTACCCTCCCAAATGGTGCATTTGTTCTTCACAACCATCCACTATCCATAGCCCTGACCACCTCACAGATCTAACCCAGCCCCATTCTTGGTAAAGACAGAGTCATCTCATCATAAATGACTGGTCCCTGCTGTGACAGACTCTTGCCCTAATTTGATATGTTTGTATAAGACAGGACTATATATGTGTTGTGTTTTGTGGTGCCAGTGTGTATCATGTGTTCCACAACCAGTTGTTGAAACTGTGACTATTTAGTTAAAGCTGTATCGTTCTTATTCCTAAGTTAATGGATATGCTGATACTCAAATTGGGAAAGTAATCAACCAAACTTCAAGTGGAGTCTATTAAAATATACTATTCAAGAGCTGATCCCAATTCTTTCATATTACTGTAGTTAATCAGTCATGGCATTAACTTCAGTAATATGACAAAAAAGCAGGCGTATTTTTCAACTTCTTTTAGTTGTATATGTCAAGTATCATTAAGCGTGGGGCAAACAGAAAACCCATATTAAGCACAGTGATTCACTGAGAGTCAGTTTGACAGTATTTTAGATAATGGGGAAAAACTAATGATCCGAAGCTATAACCAGTGGTCCTGGCATGTCTTAAGTCCCGCAACACCTACAGCGTTTCAGTTTTATCATCTCAAAAGATATATCGAGTTATTGTGATTATTTTATGATCGTATCATACATTAACTGGGTTGTAGGGGTTGTGATTTCATCAGTCCATCTATTTTAATCAATCCATCGTAAATCACTAAGCATCGTTGTTCTTAGTGGAAAGGTCTGTTGACAATGGCATCTTTATTTGTACCGTACCTTTTCACCAGAGGATACAATCAAGCCAGGTAATTAAGTAACTGACGAGGATTCGACAACATCCCTCTTTCCCCTCCACATCACCGAGCTAATGACACATAGCAAGTGTCTTTAACGTTTAATACTGGAACGGCAAAGAAACGATTTTCTTGTCTAAAAATGAACTTTATGATCCGACTGTCAGAGAAACTACACTTACTTTTTATAGATTTTCTTCCGAAGTTATGTTTGCAATGTGGATTGGATTACTAGACAGCCTTGGCCTGCCCTTCTATATCTTTTTGTCAACCTGAGCCATCTGAGGCTTGACATTCCTATCAATACTGGAAGTTGAATTCACATCGTATTACGACTGGAGGAATTCTGGTAAGGTATTCATATTAACGAAATGACAATTCGACATTTGTGTGGGCAACTTCTTGTATGTTTAAACATACTGGAGTAGATATTGTCTTACATGAAGTACACGTATTATATCTATCTATCATACGCAGACAGCTTTGTTATTTTTAACTTCAGAAAATACTTACGACATCGTGTTGAATCGGCAATAGCAAGTAATGAACAAACGAAAATAATGGTAAAGTTGTCTTTGCTAGCTGCAACCACAAAGCATACTTCACAGTCAGAAAATAATTTAACACCTGCAGGTAGACATGAAACCAGAATAAACATCCTGGCTCCAAGTTGGGAAAGTATGACTTCTTGGCCTTGGATACACACATGCTAACATATTTCAATAATAGGTCAAATAATAAATCGTCAATAATTCACTCTGTCACTTGCCATTTCAAAAAGTGATAAAGCATTAAAAACACCACAACTACTAGACAAAATATGAAAGAGAAAACTGGTATGTCTTTATTAGCAGTCAAACAAATAAATCAAGATGACAACAAGGTACGCACAAAAATAACATGACAGCATGATAAACGAACATAGTTAACGAACTCAGGTAAAAACTGGGAATTCACCGAAAAGAATTAATACCGTGGTTCAAAAATCTTCAAAACTAACATCATGACACATTGCTAAATGTTAATAGATACATTATACCATATCTTCAAACACAAGTTCAGAGAGGACACACGCCTGTTCGTTACCATGGTACGGCTATATGGTGGTACAATGTTTGTTGTTAGGAGTGCATGAATAAGAAATTTAATCACTTTACAGAAAGACAAAACATGATAAAACTATAGACGCTGTGTGACAAGTGACGTAATTGTATTGCATCTTATCTTATCCACATGTGTAAGAATACGATAATCTAAGATTAATATTTGAAGGTATCGCCAACATGACTGTTTACATTGTTAGATCGTGATGCAGATATCGACAGGTTGTTATCTATACATCTGGAAAAAAGATCAGCACCATCCATTTTCCATGTATCTGTTGGAAATATCTACATAAATCATTGACGACGCTTTCATTAATATTTAGTATCCCATCGATACTTGCTGAAAAGCTGATACAAGGACGTTGTATTTCAGTATAAACATATCACTTTGTACACAAAAACCAAATGTGTTTCACCAGAAAATGAATACAGAACGCACCTTTTTAAAAAAATGATAGATTGAAATTCACAGTTGTGTTTGCTGTACCTTTGTCCAGGTGTATATGTTGGCGGTTGTTCCTGTTAGACCACACATTCCTGTTTCCGTTCCCTTGTTTCTGTAAGTTAACTTTAATAAAGTATATTCATGTTCAGGGTCTGTCATCATTCGTTCTCCATGAACTCTGGAATATTGCTAGGTGTTGACGTTAAACAACAAACAAACAAATCCGGAGCTCCGACACTGAAGAGGTAATAGATTCTGGCTGTTATAGCATCATTGGTGTATCCCAAGAGCTGCGACACCGAAGAGGTAATAGATTCTGGCTGTTATAGCATCATTGGTGTATCCCAAGAGCTCCGACACTGAAGAGGTAATAGATTCTGGCTGTTATAGCATCATTGGTGTATCCCAAGAGCTCCGACACTGAAGAGGTAATAGATTCTGGCTGTTATAGCATCATTGGTGTATCCCAAGAGCTCCGACACTGAAGAGGTAATAGATTCTGGCTGTTATAGCATCATTGGTGTATCCCAAGAGCTGCGACACCGAAGATGTGATTGATTCTTGCTGTCTGGCTCCCGGGACCTCCGACATGGAAGAGGTACTCGATTCTGGCCGTCATTTTCAGCATCATTTGTGTACCCCCGGGAGCTGAGACAGTGAAGAGGTACTCGATTCTGACTTTCATATACGGCATCATTGGGGAACTCCAAGGAGCTCCGACACTGAAGAGGTACTTGGTCATCAGCCATCATAGCTAGTTGCTCGGGGGAATGCCGTGTTAGAATTGGTCATCACCAACTACGCCTGTAAGAAACGCGATGCGTATGTGTCATCGTATCCCGACGGCGGAGGGTTTGCTCATAGTATCAATCACTAGATTGTTTGATCCAATTTTTAAGATTTACAGGATACCGCCATATAGCTGGAAATTTGCTGAGTGAGTCGTTAAACAACAAACATACAAAGGACATATAGCTAGTTGGATTTGACATAATCCAAACAACACTAGAACCTTTTGATAGTAACTGTGTAACGCCACATCACGCGGCATATAGTTTGTATTCCACGAGGGACGTTTTTTAAATCATTCTTGATATTTTAATATTAAACTTTCATTTGAAAACGAAACCCAACAGAAACAATTTGAGCAGTTATATAAGGTTAGAGACTGCCGTCATATGTTGTGCCGTGTGATTGTTGCGTGCACTTAACTCTTTCTAATATAGATTCCTGACAGTGCTGGTGGTGTTCCGAATGGACTGAGTCGTATTGACGAATAGAGAATTCCAAATAGTATTAATATCAAATATTTTACTCCCAACAGATACATCTCTGAGTGAGGATCCGACGATCACTCCAGAATTTCTCATCAACTTCGAGGCTTCTAACTTCTGGGAAGAAGTTTACGAAGCTTTCAGATCAGCTTATCTGATTTGTACATCTCGAAAAAGAACATAGATTGTACCGTTATGTTGTTTGGGATATTTATACATCCTTTCGTTTCTGAGCGCCATGCCATCGAAGGTATATTTGTTTTCTCTGTGGGTTTACCTTTGTAACAATAGAAATTTACCAACACAGACGGTAAAGACATCTGATTGTCATCAATAACCACCCTTTATTTAAATCAGGCGGTCAGAGTTCACCGAGGGTTTTAAATGACATGAATTTTGGAAGGTGCGTGAGTGAATTAATTTTAACACATTTGAACAATATTCCAGTTATATCACGGCGTGCCAGCTGAATGTGGGAGGAAAGCCCGAAGTGATGCAAGTCTCAGACATTTACCACTTTGGTGAAACCCACGAGCACGGGTTTTGTGCTGACAAACCTAGAAACATAATCAGGGCGAACCGGCATTCGAACCCACGATCATAGGTTTCTGGCGTGCCCATGGGACGTAACTCTGCACAGCGAATTGCGGCACCTTAGACGACTACGCAGTGCCCCCGACTTTTTGAAGGGTTAAGTCTTCACACAGATTGGAGATTGGAAAATTACAAAAAGGTTTTCGTACTGACAAAGTCAAAACACATTATGTCTTTTCAATATCATGTGCTATTGAGTAGGTTTCAAATGTTGCAGCAATCGCAAACCCAATGAAACTTTGAAATCTGAAAACACCCAATGCCCTCTACTAAATAACCATTTAACATGCAGACAATGTCACAATTCCACACAAGCTAAAACATTTAGACAGAGACGAGAAATGGACTTTAGCAGAGAATCCTCTCCGTTCCCGTTGTTCCTTCTCCAGATGCTTCTGATGTAATTCTAAGGTACTCTATGGGAGTTAAGACAGTCGTAGCGCTCAGATATCTTTGTGGAACTGGGGCCAGGACACAGGCGTTGGTCTCTTGTCACGTCACCACAAAGTGTACACGTATTGGTCTGCAAAAGAAGTCGTACATAATGACATAAGTATGCAAATTAGATAACCGGATACGGCACTTTTTTCACTGGTGTTTAGATACAAATAACGAAACAAGATGGGTTCCCTTGATCATGTTGATGCTGGAAACGTTATAGATAGAATGGGGGGATACCGTGTTGACAGTTTGCCGAATTGCCAATAACGGTTATGAGATGGGTACAGATTGATGGTAACGAAGTTGAAGTTGCCTGTCACAGATAGAGTGTGTAGTCAAGTGCTTACTTGTAGACACACATGAATAACGGAAGATTTGGAACAACATCAGGTGATTTTACTTTCATTCAACTCATAAGGATGCAATGGTTAAGACAATGCCTCAGCAGGATCAATTCACGATAATAAAGACACAGAAAGCCCAAGTGGCAAATAGTTAAAACAAAAGTATATCTGAGACTGAAAACCTTAGTGAACCTTTGTCACAAACATCTCATCACTGATACGACAGAAAACGCAGCAATGTGTTTTGTCCACAACATATCTCCTGGTGTGAGTTTATAAAACTGACGCTAGTCTGCTGCCCGTGTGTTTGAAACACAAATTCGCCGTAAGACACGCAGAGACTCCACGTTCAATGACGATTAATGTCTCACTAAAAAAACTGAACGTTCGCCATGCACTGAATGCTTTCAGCACACCGAATACAAGAGAGCTTCTCACAGGTACCATCAAAAGCGTGCAACCAAAGGCCCTGTGACGGGAGAAGACAGTTCAGACAACACAAGTGATTGGACATAGTTAACTCCGTGGCGGACTTGAAGCGTTTCTGGAATGTTGTAAGGCACGTGTCAGGTTGACCAGGCCCACCCAACCATATCGCTCTGGATGTTTGGGCTGACGTCAGCTGATGACTCTTTTGAAGATTTGATAGACCCTGATTTAATAAACACAAGTGACACTCAAGTTTTATCAGGTGGCATTTTAGACTAACCAATAACCAGAGATAAAAGACATAATCAACGCTCTCAAAAACAAGAAATGGTTGGTGTAAATAATATTTCTGGTGAACACTTGAAGCAGCCACCTGACATTATTTCTCATTATCGAGAGAGGCTATTTAATGGAATGTTGGAAAAATGTGTTTTCCGGAGAAATGGTCATTTGGGATTATCATTCCACAACACAAGAAAGATGACTAATCTAACGCCGCCATTCGTCTTTTGGGTATTCTTAGTAAGGTGTTTTCTTCTATCTCATGTCCCCGCCGTGATATTGTTGGAATATTGCTAACAGCGGGGTAAAAGCAAAGTAAACTCATTCACTCATGTAAGAGGCTGTTGTCTTTGGCAAGTCCTTGTGGTAAAATCTCTGAGTGTCAGTATTCCGGAAGGGAAATTCAACAATAGGCAACTGCTTCTTAAAAAATACATTGTCCAACGTTTTCTAGCTGTCGCGTAAAGAGGGAACGTTTTGTATGTTGTTTGTATAGATTTTTCCGAGGCATTCGAATTTAATTTGGTTTTACAAACATTGAATTAATTTAAAAATGGGTAAAATGTTACAGTCAACTCACAAATCTGGATTTATGTTTTAACAAAAGGCTAAACTACTGTAAAACGACTGACAATAAATCATTCGCGATCGACTCAGCCCTCCGTAACAGCTATATCCCTCTTGAAAGCAACCATAACCCCAACATCAACTGGCCATGATCGTCACATGATTACATCACGATCTCATAGAATCTTTATACATACACCACATAGAATGTAAAGAATCCAATAGGGCTGGGACGAGTCAAAATTTACGACCCGGGTACCCAACCCCCTATTACCCGACCCTACCCGGGTAACGAACCCCCTATTACCCGACCCTCTTACCCGGGTTCCAAACTCCCCATTACCCGACCCTACCCGGGTACCCAACCCCCCTATTACCCGACCCTAGCTACCCGGGTACCCAACCCCCTATTTCCCGACCCTACCCGGGTACCCAACCCCCTATTACCGGACCCTACCCGGGTACCTACCACCCTGTTACCCGACCCTACCCGGGTACCCAACCCCATATTACCCGACCCCACCCGGGTACCCGCTGTAGGTCTCAAGAGTTGGGAACACAATGTCTAATTGGGAATAGTTTAACTGCAGCGCTGGCTTAAACTGTTTTGATACATGTATGAAACCCGAAACCATATAATAGATATATGGTCGCTTATGAAACAATCAGATCATGCGTTCACTGAAGTTGACTGAAGCTTTATCTTTACTCAAACATATACAAGTCAAAAGGAATGTGTGAATTAGGGCTGTGACGAGTTCAAATGTACTACCCGGGTACCCACCCCGTATTACCCGACCCTACCCGGGTACCCACCCCCCTATTACCCGACCCTACCCGGTGACCCGCTGTAGGTCTCAAGAGGTAGGTACAAACTGTCCGATTGGGAAAAGTTTGACCGAAGCTCTGGTAAAATGTGTTTAGATACATGTATGAAACGATCTTGTGTATAGACTGAAGTTGACTGAAGTTGACTGAAGTTTCATTTAATTTAAAAGTCAGAAAGAATGGGCGTAGTAGTTAGGAAGGACTGCGAACATAAGTGACTTGTAGTTTAAACAAAGTGTTTTAGATACTTTTTGTCATTAAAGAATACATCACGTGACTAACCACGGGTCCGGGTTGTCCTGAGGGTACCCGGGTCCTACTCAGTACCCACCCGACCCGAGTACCCGAGTTACCCGTCCAAGCCCTGTGTGCATCATCATGAAGAAATGGGAACATTAGCGACTTGTAGTGTAACCACTGAGCTCTAGTGAGTTTTTGTCATTCAACAATATATCTCGTGACTAACCACGGGTCCGGGTAGTACTGTGGGTACCCGGGTCCAACTCAAATATTTGATATTGACAAACCTCCAGCGCCAAAAGAAACCGGAAATAATAGCGTGTAGAATGCGAAGGGACATCACTCCGTAATTAAATAACGTGTAGGCCACTAGAAAATATGGCCAAATAATATCAATTTACATTTACAAATAAATCTTATATCTTGCTGACAAATATACTAGCACTAGCATATATAACACCTACTATACTGACATGTATTACACCCGCCCCTAAAACATGTATAACACCTTGCTTGCCGTAAGAGGCGACTAACGGCATCGGGTGGTCAGGCTCGCTGACTCGGTTGATGCATGTCATCGTATCCCAATTGCGTGGATCGATGTCCATGATGTCAATCACTGGATATTCTGGCCCAGACTCGATTATTTACAGACTGACGTCATATAGCTGGAATATTGCTGGGTGCGGCGTTAACCAACCAACTAACCAACAAACAAAAAACACCTACCATACTGGCATATATAACACCTACCATACTGGCATATATAACACCTACCATACTGACATATATAACACTTACCATACTGGCATATATAACACCTACCATACTGGTATATATAACACCTACCATACTGACATGTATAACACCTAACATACTGACATGTATAACACCTACCATACTGACATGTATAACACCTAACATACTGGCATATATAACACTTACCACACTGGCATATATAACACCTACCATACTGACATGTATAACACCTACCATACTGACATGTATAACACCTAACATACTGGCATATATAACACTTACCACACTGGCATATATAACACCTACCATACTGGTATATATAACACCTACCATACTGACATGTATAACACCTAACATACTGGCATATATAACACTTACCACACTGGCATTTGTGACAACTACCATACTACCTACCATACTGACATATATGACACCTACCATACTGGCATATACAACACCTAACTTACTGACATGTATAACAGCTACCATACTGGCATATATAACACTTACCACACTGGCATTTGTGATAACTACCATACTACCTACCATACTGACATGTTTTACACCTACCATACTGACATGTACAACACCTAATTTACTGACATGTATAACAGCTACAATACTGGCATGTTTAACACCTTCAATACTGACATGTATAACATCTACCATACTGACTGGTATAACACCTACAATACTGGCATATATGACACCTACCATACTGACATATATAACACCTACCATACTGGCATATAAAACACCTACCATACTGGCATATATAACACCTACCATACTGGCATATATGACACCTACCATACTGGCATATATAACACTTACCATACTGACATATATAACACTTACCATACTGGCATATATAACACCTACCATACTGGCATATATAACACCTACCATACTGGCATATATAACACCTACCATACTGGCATATATAACACCTACCATACTGGCATATATGACACCTACCATACTGACATGTATAACACCTAACATACTGACATATACGACACCTACCATACTGGCATATATAACACCTACCATACTGGCATATACAACACCTACCATACTGGCATATATGACACCTACCATACTGGCATATATAACACCTACCATACTGGCATATATGACACCTACCATACTGGCATATATAACACTTACCATACTGACATATATAACACTTACCATACTGGCATATATAACACCTACCATACTGGCATATATAACACCTACCATACTGGCATATATAACACCTACCATACTGGCATATATAACACCTACCATACTGGCATATATGACACCTACCATACTGACATATATAACACTTACCATACTGGCATATATGACACCTACCATACTGACATGTATAACACCTACCATACTGGCATATATGACACCTACCATACTGGCATAAATGACACCTACCATACTGACATATATAACACTTACCATACTGGCATATATAACACTTACCAAACTGACATTTGTGACAACTACCATACTACCTACCTGGCTGACATGTATAATACCGACCATACTGACATGTATAACACCTACCACACTGGCATATATGACACCTACCACACTGGCATATACAACACCTAACTTACTGACATGTATAACAGCTACCATACTGGCATACACAACACCTACGATACTGGCAAATATAACACCTACCATACTGGCAAATATAGCTCCAGTCCATTTCGCAGGAGACGTCGTTGATCCCATACTGCGCGTTCCTCGTTTCCAAGCCTCCGCAGTTCTCGATCCCTGGGGGAGTGCATGAAATCACAAAGGTTTAGAAAGTTCATTGTCCGAGTCAGCTTCCGTAAAACTCGATACCCAAGGTATCTTCCGCTTTAACTGCATCTGACAATGAGTAAGTGAGTTGGGTTTAACTTTGAACAGGTCGTAATATATGATAGGTGTACGTGACAGGTAGGAGTGATTGTTTCAGCGAAATGCACGATGTGCGATGTCTACATAATATATATTTACCGCCCCCGTTTAGTGGTTCGCCGGATAGAAAGAACTTGCTGGTATCCACCACACCTCCGTTCATCCAGTGCAGCACACCATCATTTCGTCGCGTGAATCCTGCAACATTTAGTTATCTCCCGTGATTCAAGGCCGTCCTAACATAGGAGTTTGCTTAAACCTTCTAAGTTCAGGTGAGGTGACATGCATACCCTACTCAGACATAGTATTAGTATACCGACCTAGAGTCCCCCTATCCCCTTAATGTCAAGCGCAAGGCAAGGTAACAACAAGTACCATCTTTTATAACGTCTTTTGGCATGACGCAGCCGGGGATTGAACCACCGACCTTCCGCTCTACGGGCAGACGCTCTACCACAAGACCATGGAGTCGGTGTGAGAACACGAAGCATCCACAATATGTATGAACATGAAGCATTCGTAATATGTGAGAACACAAAACACTTATGATAGGAAAAAGTATGAAGTATTTACAACATGTTAGAACACGAAGCACTCGTAATATGCTAGAACACGAAGCACTTGTAATATGATAGATTATGAGGTACATATACAATGATAAATCATGAAGCACACATACTGTTAGAACATGAGTGAGTTAGTGAGTGAGTTGGGTTTAACGTGGCTTTTGACATTATTCCATTTATATCAAGGCGTGCCAGCTTAATGTGGGAGGAAAGCCCGAAGTGATGCAGGTCTCAGACGTTACCACTTCGGTAAAATCCACGATCATGGGTATGATGCTGACAAACCTAGAAACATAATCGGGGCGAACCGGGATTTGAACCCACAATCACAGGTTTCTGGCGTGCCCAAGGGACGCAACTCTGCACAGCGAATCGCGGCGCCTTAGACGACTTGGACACCCGTGCCCCCTGTTAGAACATGAAGCAAACATAATGTTATAATATAAAACGCACATTATGTAAGAATATAAAACACACACATTAAATGATAGAACATGAAGCATCCACAATATGTCAGAACATGAAGCATACACAACATGTCAGAACATGAAGCATACACAACATGTCAGAACATGAAGCATACACAATATGTCAGAACATGAAGCATACACAACATGTCAGAACATGAAGCATAAATAACTAACATACTGTGCAAGAAGGGGATATTTTGTTTTGAGGTGAAACAAAAAAAACCACTACACCAGTGTCTCGCAATAAAAATAATTGATTTATGTGGCAGGACCATATTCGAAGAATTCAAGTTCCCAAACACAACATTGTGACAGTCATGAAGCACGTGACCTCGGACAGCACGTGCAATGGGTGGTATGCCAGATTTACCATTGTCTCTCAGACTCGGTTGTTAGGTTATTGCTTTTATTAATCAACCATAGGCACCATGTATCTTCGTCTGTAGCTCTTATACAACAAGCAGACATTTTATAACAGGATAATTTAAGTTACCTATGTAGAATCTGGCCTCGTTGCCGTAAGGTTCCACGAGAGGGAGGATGTGGTCGTACACTTCCTGGTTGTAGATGTGAAGAAGGTCGCCGTACTTCTGCTGGCATTTTGACCAGCTGGTATCAAATGACCCTGGTTTGGAGGGTGTGACCTCAATACACCTGTCGAGGAATTCACTGGTCCCTGGAGCGCACTTCTTGACTGTGAAAACAACGAGGACACTACGTTGGTGACAAGCACTGTGTCAGCTCAGTGCATAGTTGTTATTTTTATTTAATTGCATGGTAACTCGATGGTGATATCATAGCTGTGTTTTGGACCTTATAGTATGCAGTGTTTCCACGGCAGTTTTCAACCTTGTAACGTTTTGATATCGTTTGTAATTTTTGGGTGTAATCCAATTTTCAAGTGTATACTTTTTTGGCCCGGGTGTTTACATCAGTGAATTCGTGCACTAATGATTGTGTGAATGTTGTTTAATATATCTAAATGATCGAGTCTCTACCAGGCAAACGGGTAACTGACAAAGTACGATTATTGCAATCAGAACATCACAGTTGCTGGAACACTTCCTGGGTTAATATACGCTATATATATTCCCCCATCGCCCGTGAATACATACAGACGTTATACGGCGTCGTTGTGACATGTGTGTATTTTCAATCAGCTGATGAATTAGGCCGTGTATCATTCACAGACGTCCAATGGGTCCAACTCCGTGCATGAAACTCTGTGCGAGCCCTACCATTGCCTGACATTGAAGCCATGTGTGGAGCCGATACCATAAGGCCTTGGCACATGTGACACACGATGTCGCGCGAGAAACGTTGCCGTATGTGCAATGTATACTGAGCGTTCATTGGTCGAGTACTCACCTGCCTCCCATTCACTTAAAACAGGCAGCCGTTGATACGTTGGTTAAAAATACAGACTACAAATGGAGGGACGTGGTGTATTCGATGCTGATCTACCAATCCACTATAAAAGGCCATTTCAACAAACACGAGACACTTGGAACCTTATTTGATCCGGAATCCCCGCATGGTGTCATAAAGAAAATGCAACCTTAGTGTAACTCGATCAATTTCAGCACGACAATGAAAGCCATAACTGCCAAAATGTACTCGTTCTAAATAGTTTCTTTGCAGTGCATAATTCAAATGAAAATTGTTCAAACGCAAACTGTTTCAATTTCAAAAAGGACTCAATGATATAAAGAAACTGTTAAAAGAAAGATATTTTTAATGCTAAAGGCTATATTATTACTTACCATAGCAATGAGCCCCATTGTATTGTGCGATTCTCTGGAGTTGATGAAATGCAAAAATGAAATGACATCTTAGTGAAAATCATATACATATTTAGAATATTTGTGTCACTGGAAACACGAGTGTATATCAATTTACGTCCATGGCATCTTCGATTTTCCTGGGTATAGTTTCGTCGTTTCGGAAGTGACGTCACCACCTCTAGCGCTCATATCTTGAACTAAGCATAGAATGTCTCTCGCTCATTTGAGGACTTTGATTGGAGGGGCCATTAGAATGAGGCTCGAAATTAAAGCAATGGTAGCAAATAGGTCTGCGGGTTTTTTACACATAATTGATATATAATACAGAGGTTAATGGACGCCCATGGCTACCTTGTGATACATCGTTCAAATGTTTGCAAAACCTGAAATGTTCACGTGTCTCGTTATTCAAAACATTAGTGATTACCTGTATACATTTCGTAATTGAGTGAGCAAATGTGACTTCCAAAAATGGAAATTGTCGTTTCTAACATTAGATCCCTAAAATCACAGCAGTTATTATGGTCTTATTACTACTATCGTAATATTGTTTCCTTGAAGATTTAAAGTGTATATATTGTAACCGAGTTTGAGATATAACTTAAAAGTAATATGATTTAGATTCACATTTTTGATGAATGTACAGGTGCTTTCAATCCTGATTAAAAATATACAGCAATTCGAAAGGTTAATATATTATGAGGTCTAACTTTATGTTTTACCGAAACAGGCATTTAATTTTCCGTCAGCAATAAATGTATATGCCGTTGTTATGAGTATGCACATATGAAGGTCTATTCGTTGTAATATTTCATAGGTTCCATCATGGTTTCGACAGTATGTTTTACATAGAAAAACGTAATATATTACTTGAAAGAAGTTTAAGATGATCCGATGACGCACGGCATGACAGATTAACTACAGAAATGTTAAAGAATCGGGTGTTCTTAAACTTCTTTTAAGTAGCATATATGAAAAGGCTACAATACGGATATGGCGATCATCAGAATTATTCTAGAAAATGTTTCCACTGCGGAGAGTATTCTAAATGTTCATTTATTGCACAGTTCTGTTCATACAAAATGTTGTCTTTGGAAGTATAAACTTTTAAGTTATATATCTGATTTAGTCAATATACTTATGTCGTGAAAGAACAAAAACATCTAGCTCCTGAAATCCACACGCTCGTTATTTAGATATATACAAACTTGACAGATATGTTAAACATACCAACAGGTCGTTTTGCATCATTTTCAGCTGTTCCAAATGCTAGTATGGTAAACATTGGTGTTTGGGAAAATGTAAGGAAATAAAGGTCTAAAGTTTTGGTAGAATCTTGGCAACAAGGATTAAAGTCATTAGAAAAATCATTTATTAAGAAAAATGACGTTGAAAATTTCTCCACGAACTATTGTGGCGGCCATTTTGGATATCAAAATGGACGCCATTTCTCTTCCGCTATCGGTCAAATTTCAAAATTTAACTGTCAAAGATATTGTGACACTAAGGCATAATAGATGTCAAATGGAAGCTCTTTGTAAAACATTTCTATTGATGCACTATAGTCATGAAAATCGCAGTTATCGGTCAAAAACTGTTTTTAATATATAGGACTGTCTGTTCTGAATTTCACATATCATGACAATTACATCAAACCTGGAACATTTTACTGCTTATGACGAATTAATATCATAACAAATTTATGTTGGTTGAACTGCACATACCATTTTCCAAAGATATACATATGTAAAGTTACATCTGACTCGGGAGATTAGTAGCCTAGTTAGTACCGCAAGACACAGTTAATGTCACTGTCCAAAGCGTCTGTGCGGTCATTGTATGGAAGTATTCTGAGAACATCACTTACTCTTCATTACTAACTAATTCAGTCTCTGTATTTGTAAACATTTCATAGTCTTCTTCCCAAAACTGTGAAAAAGCCTTCAAACCAAAGCCATTCATTCCCTGTCAGCTCCGATTCTCCCAATGCTGTTAAACTATCTCTCTACACGTACCACAATGTCGGCACCCAGAGACAGTTAATATGATTAATCAGAAGATTTGTTCCCCAGTTTGTACTGCAAGATACTGTTAATGTCACTGTTCCGTGTCGCTGTGATCACTGTTTCGAAATATTCTGAGAAAGTCGTTGGCAAACGTTAATTTGCAGTGGCAGATAGATTTGACTGAGGCGGTGTGTTTTCTGGTTAGGCGGGTGGGGATGAGAATAAGAAAATTTATTTATTCTGAACTAACGAGAAATTTAATAATAATGGTTTCTTTTTCCTGATAGTGTTTTTTTCACAAAAAGTTGGTGCATTGGTGCGAGACTTACATCCGGAGAAGAAATCCTCTTGTGATAGTAGTTCCATCCGGCGCTAGATGACATATCCCATGGTACCAACCTTTCGTCCATTGAGTTCAACTGGCACTTTCTCAGCTGTCTGTTGTAGTTGACAGACCTGCAGACAGTCGAGTCCATGTCCAGACATTCACGGACACACTGAAGCAAACTAATTCCCCCCTTTGTCTCTATCATTTGGTTGGTGAGACGTTTCCCAAGAAACGAGTCAAAATCCCATGAAAAATTGCAGGTTGCCCCCTCTGGTAGGCTTACAGCCCCATCGAGAAGACCCAGCATCGTCACCACCACAAGCAGCATCTCGCAACACGTACTTTAGATACGATATACTGATAAGAAAGTCCAAAGCTTGCCTCCCATACACTCTCCTTTGGCATCAAAGCGATCTATTTTAATGATATACTAAAGACAGATCTGAAGAAGAATATATGTCTCTTGATTTTCTTTCCGAATGTACGCCCAATGTTATTCAAGTAGTCATTCAGAGTGGTGCTCAGACGAATATCGGGATTGGTATAAGCATGAAAATATCAAACATCCCGCTTGGTGGCAGAATCGAAGGAAAACTCTACTGATCGATGGCATAGCATAGTATACCGCAGTACATCGCAAAGGTTAGGAATATAATTTGTTTAATCGGTCCCAATTATTGGTATTGATGTAATCAATAATGGCCTACTAATCCTTGAACCAAACCAGGAGCGCTTACCCTGCATAGCTAATATTCAGACACACCTTGAGATACAGTCCTTATTCGCCGTAACAAGGATTTAAGAAGCTTTTTTCGTAAAACAGTTATTGATGAGTATAAATTATCTGTTAACAGGCTGATGGCGCTTTTATTGATGATGATGACAACACAAATGTTTTGTATGGATATCAATGTGGAAGCAATGGACAGATCATTACAAGGCTCCAGGGCATCATACAGGCATAAATATTAAAATAAATTATCATGTGATCATGGGGCAAAACGTATGGGTTCTATTCTCCACAAAGATATAATAAGTGAAGGCTATTTCCGGTGTCTCCGCCCCCGTCCCGTGTCCGGGTTATTGGAAAGAGAGGCGTGAAACAATGCTCACTCACTAACCCATATGTTCGATGACATTCATGAACATGAAAGTTCATTTTTTGTCCAACCGGCGCGCTACCTGATTGTTGTACAGTAGTGCGTGATGTGGCTACGTGATTCAGGAACACCGGGTTGGTATAACGTCAATGCACTGATGTTTATTGTAAATATTATATCCGTATTGAAAAATATAATTTTGCAAGAAGAATAAAAATATAGGAAGTATCATTCTGCCTCCAGTCTCGGAGAAATTAAAAACGTGTGTTGCAAAACATATAATTGCTCGGATCGTTCTTTCAGAGAGAAAAAAAGACCATTTGGCACCATCAATGTGATAATAGTTTGTATGTGAAGTTTAAAAAGGTTGCTCCAATATTCTGTTTGTGCTGAGACTCCACCATGATATTGACGCCGCCATGGATATGCTTTATTTTGTTACATCACTCTTTCGCTTTTAATCAACGTGAGTGGACATGGTATTTGGAATGTATGCTTGCTATAACCGTCTCATTTCGTTAATTGTTTCAAAATTGCGTTATGTATTTACATAATACCTGTGCAGGTTGTGTAAACATTTATTCGTTGGAGCTGATTGAACTCAAGCAGTAATTAGGACTTACAATATTGTGCAATATTGTGATGAAAATCATTCTCGACCTTCTGCTTAACGTCTCATTGTATTTTACGTTGTAACAACTAACGATCAAATGTGATATCGCTCTCTGGCTAATGATTTAATTGCGTTGTACCAGCTTGCAGATCTGCCATGCCAGGGGATATAAAATGTTCGATGACACGTTATCGCTCCATGCCATCAGGTACGATGACACATCGTCGCTCCACGCTGTCAGGGTGTGATGACACGCTATCGCTTCACGCCGTCAGTGTACGATGATACGCTATCGCTCCACGTCGTGAGGGTACGACGACATGCTATCGCTCCACGCCGTCAGTGTACGATGATACGCTATCGCTCCACGTCGTGAGGGTACGACGACATGCTATCGATCAACGCCGTCAGGATGTGATGACACGCTATCGCTCCACACCGTCAGTGTGCGATGATACGCTATCGCTCCACGCCGTCAGGGTGTGATGACACGCTATCGCTCCACGCCGTCAGGATGTGATGACATGCTATCGCTCCACGCCGTCAGGGTGTGATGACACACTATCGCTCCACGCCGTCAGGGTACGATGACACGCTATCGCTCCACGCCGTCAGGGTGTGATGACACGCTATCGCTCCACGCCGTCGGGATGTGATGACACGCTATCGCTCCACGCCGTCAGAGTACGACGGCAGGCTATCACTCCACGCCGTCTGGGTGTGATGACATGCTATCGCTCCACGCCGTCAGGGTGTGATGACAGGCTTTCGCTCCACGCCGTCAGGATGTGATGACATGCTATCGCTCCACGTCGTCAGAGTGTTATGACATGCTATCGCTCCACGCCGTCAGGGTGTGATGACACGCTATCGCTCCACGCCGTCAGGGTGTGATGACATGCTATCGCTCCACGCCGTCAGGATGTGATGACACACTATCGCTCCACGCCGTCAGGGTGTGATGACACACTATCGCTCCACGCCGTCAGGGTGTGATGACATGCTATCGCTCCACGCCGTCAGGGTACGATAACACACTATCGCTCCACGCCGTCAGGGTACGATAACACACTATCGCTCCACGCCGTCAGGGTGTGATGACATGCTATCGCTCCACGCCGTCAGGGTATGATGACACATTATCACTCCACGCCGTCAGGGTACGACAGCAGGCTATCGCTCCACGCCGTCAGGGTGTGATGACATGCTATCGCTCCACGCCGTCAGGGTGTGATGACACGCTATCGCTCCACGCCGTCAGGATGTGATGACAGGCTTTCGCTCCACGCCGTCAGGGTGTGATGACACGCTATCACTCCACGCCGTCAGGGTACGATGACACGCTATCACTCCACGCCGTCAGGGTACGATGACACGCTATCACTCCACGCCGTCCCGGCGTGATGACACACTATTACTCCGAGTCGCCAGGGTACGGTGACACAGTAGCACTTCACGTCGTCAGGAAACGATGGAACACTATCGATCCACGCCGTCAGGATACGATGACACACTAGCACTCAACGTCGTCAGGATGCGATGAGCCAGGTATATGACAGTTTGACATGACGCACGGACGCGGATACGACATTTTGGAAGGGAGTGGTGGTTGCACCTAACGTACAATATACTAGATGAATCCAAATTAATATTTTATGTTAAACAAAAATATCGCAAAATAATTTAGATATGTCCTTCATTTTAATATAAAGGGTTCACACCGAGACACACGCACACACACGCACACGCACACACACGCACACACAGACAACACACACCACACAGACACACACACAGAAGAGACACAGACACACACAGACACACACACACACACTCGCGCGCGCGCGCGCGTATACTTTATAATCACCCAGCTTGGACAACGAAAGTGTCGCTATCAGGAGGTAATACAACGCGACCCAGTCCTTGGTTGAAACTGATATGTCACGTCGCGACGTCTCACTCCGCCAGACACTGACGTACCCTGGGGGAGCGACTCCGTGTTGTAGACATGTCACTCCCCACTCCCCCTGACAACTGATGGCGTCACGTAATCCCAACTGGGACGGTAGTCTCACGCTATTCATCTTCCACTCTCGTCTCTGACGAAGATTTACACACTTCCTTTTGTTTCGACGTGGTCAACTGTGTCATGCAAAATGGCTTTCCTTGAAACACGAGGTCGTTATTGTTTTATAAGAAATTCGTTAATGTTTTTCAAATAATTGCGACAAAACCCTTACAAGAATGGAATAGAGTCGACTGTATGATCCCGACTATATCAGAAGCATGTATCCATGAATCACTATCAGGTAGTGATGATACCAGGTGTTTATAAATGAGTAATTTTATCCGGGACATTGAGAAACACACACTCACATATCGCAGTTTCATTTAGTATTTTACACCAGTAGGGGTGACTACAGTGCGTGAGAAAGAAATAGTGTATGATGGGTTTTACCATAAACCGTAGTTGTTCCAAAAACCATGAAGTGATTGTTCTTTTCTTGTGTTTTTGATGTGTGTGAAAATAAAGGTCGTCACAACGAAACGATGTTGGTGAAATGCAAGTTGAGTGAGTAAGTTAGCGAGTGAATGTGGTTGTACGCGGCTTTAGCAATATTTCAGCAACATCTCGGCGGTGGACACCGGTGGCTTCACACATTGTACATATGTGGGGAATTGAACATGAGTGACGTGCAAATGCTTTAAGCACCAAGCTACCCCTTAGATCGAGTCTCGTCTAATGTTTTGCTGTGTGTGAAGTTGTAGGTTACAAATGATTCGGTTTTAACGCCACTATTAACAGTATTTCATTTCAGCAAAGCTTGTTAGCTTTGAGCTATGTGTGTTTGTTTGTGTGTATGTTCTTTTTATTGTCTGTGTGATTGATATTGTTAGCAACGATCCAAGCCAATGGTGTATGATGACGCGACATCGACATTGTCAGCGAGCCTGACCACCCGATCCATTTAGTCGTCTCTTACGACCAGCATAGGTTGGTGGGGACCAATTCTAACCAATGTAAATTTAGAACCGACGACCAGGAAGCTGTTTGTTTGTTTATCGTTTAACGCCCCAGCCAATAATATGTCAGTCAAATGACGGCGGTATGTAAATAATTAAGTAAGTTAAAATCAAGAGATTGACATCATGAGCACCTATTAAGGCAATTAGGATACGATGACATACGATCTAACAGTCACTGAGCCCGACTAACCGATCCATTTAGTCGCCCATATTCTTACCCGGAATTTCCCCGGGATACCTGGCTCCTGTGCAAAGTAGGTTTACGATAGTACGAACCTGAACTACCCAAGACACGGTAGTTGTGACCTCGCTGCCAACGGTATGACACACCAGCGGCTTGACTGACCTTGGGTTGACGTAATCTGGCGTCTATACTCGCGTTCGATTTCAAAACCACTGGCGACTGTGGTGAGCCATGTTTACCATGGAAGAACCAAAGTTAACTTTGACTGACCAGAGTCAGCACATGTTAACTAATTTACATCTTATATAATTACTTCGGTTGGCCCAAGTTATCCATACCTAGTGAACCCCTGGAGTATAGTATTTTGATTAGCAGCCTCCAAATTAAATGACCTCATCGTTACTACTAAATAGGTTGTTTTTATCGATTCAATCAGGAATTTAAGCATTTTAATGAATGTAATTAACAAAGTATTCATTTTATATATGTATATGTGTTAATTGTTGAGATAAATACTTAAGAATCAATTATGCAACTATTGATAATGATTTGATTGATGTCCTGCGCGTTATATTGAA